CGCATTGATGGCTCGAGGGCAGCAACGCTGATCCGGTGGTAGCAGTAGAAATAATTTTACGTATATGTTACGACTATATTGGCATTCGCTCGTTCGAAGCGATATTCCCTTGCTGAGCTAGTCTCGAGGCGCCCTTCTCGGCCCACTCCTTCTTGGTGACCATCAAGTGCTGGAATGACGACAAACTTCCTAATATCTGTCAGCCAGAGACTCTGTCGAGCGCGTCACGCGCCACGAAATTACCGATGCTCCCAGCCATGAGGAGGCCCTTCGCTCCGCCTGAGTCTCCGCTGCTAGAAGACGTACTCTCGCCAGGGATGGTATGCTGCTAACACCCGTGTCACCACCACTGTTCGGGCCCAGGCATCTGAGGCGGGCAGCATCCCTCGACGTGAAAGTAAACGTTCCTTCACTCACTGTCGCAAACGCTGGGGTAAATTCTCAATGCAACTCTGCCCTCCTGTAATCGTAATTGACGCACATACCCGTTGCCTGACGTCCACGTCAATTTGAGGCACCACTTCCATGACCATCTTAGGAAGGCCTCGGAAGCCTGCAAGGTTGACAGGAGCTAGTAGTGAGGTGCCAGGTACGACGCCCCGAGGCACGTGACTTGACAACCGATTTGCCGCACTTGTGAACCCAGAGGGGTCGAAAAGAAGCTCTGGCAAGGCTCGGGCGAAGTCCTGTGGGGGCCTCAACGACGCCAAATCCGTGCCGTCTGGGAGATTGAAACCAGCACAAGTGCTACGGGGCGAGCTCAATGGCGATGGACTTGGTGAGTTCCGACCACTTAAAGTGCCGAATATGGCTTGAATTTGCTTCGGCTTCATCGGTGATGTCGCCAGACGAGCACAGTAGGAGTGCTTCACATCGCGAATTCGTTGGAGCCGCATCGCTGAGGGCACACTATGAAGGTCCCGTAGAGATCGAGGGCCTAGTAACCTCTCGAGTAGGAAGGCATCCAGGGTATCGCCCCCCACAGGGTACTCTACTGAGGGCCTTTGCATGACAAAGCCGTCCATAACTGGCACACAGCTGACCATGCTAGCACCTACGTCCAGCACCAGACTGCAGCTCTGCCCGTGGCTGAAAGCCGCCATAGAGGCTCGTCGAGGCATATAGACTGCAGGGCAATTCAAGCGTTCAAAAGCAAGATCCAGGATCTGCGACCGTTGGATGGGGGAGATGTTGTTAGGGGACACTATGAGCAATGGAGCTGTAGACGTAGATGGGAGGCCACCTCTAGAGCCGAAACAGAAGTCAGCGATAGTCTCGATGCCATCAATGTCCATTCGGACTTGACGAACTCGATGGTCATAGAATACGCAAGGCTTCACTCCACTGCAACTCCGCATAGTAGAGGTGCTATCATATAGTGAGACTGGAGATCGATAGCGACGGCTGCCTTGGGGCGCCGCCTCGGAGGCTGATTGTTCTTTTTTCACGCCTAAACCATGGGTTCTCTTTATAATGACCAAGCACTGTCCTTACTACCTAACACGCTCGATGCCTCTATTGATGGACTGTCATCACCACATACGCCGGCCCGGAAGTTGGCAGCTCCCAAGTCCAACACCATCGCCGGTGGTGTTATAGTAGAGTAACAGTCGTTGTCATATTGATCCATATCTACAGAGGTCCCCGGTTCGATCCCCGCCCACTACACAACTAAACTCGACAAGCAACATGTCATAGAAGGGGCTTGCTATCATGACCTCGATCAGTAGCCTTCCTAAGACGGCTCAACACCATACTTACGAATTGGAAAAGTACTATGACCGCTAGGCCGACCAGGGGAGCCAGTACCTTGAGACCATCTCCCACTGCACAGCCTCAGATGTCGAAAAACAGTTTCCATCGTTCACGTGGACGAATCGGTTTCCACTCCAAAGCAGTTCAGTAAGGAAAAGAGAACAGCAGTTCTCGATCGTGTTCCCATGTAGGAGGTCATTCAAGTTCAATAGAAACTCCGGCCGAAAAAACCGAAAAATATCTGCCGTAAATCGCACTCAGTTCGCGTATCATGTGGAAAGCCGAGAGCGTGTAAGAGGGGTATCGGAGCGATGGTCATCACCGAGGACCCACGACACTAAAAGATTTCACCCCTGCATACTCAGTCTGACATATTAACAAGTACATTATACTAGAATATAGATATTATACTAGACGTTATCAATAAAATACATTGGAGTTTCACCCTAGTGATATGAAAAACACTAGTGAAAAACATATTTCACGACTAGTACAGGCCGCGAATATCGCGTTTTTCACCGAGATTTACGCCACCTTACTTAAACGGGTGAAACCCATTATTATCAATATTATGATAAAACCGATTGATGATATTCCCTTACATATTGACATATGATTAGACATTAATAAAACGTTTTCACCCCTACATACTCAGTCCTTTGCTCAACTGAAGCTCATGACACCACCACAAAACACTGCGACCACCAAGATCAAGAGCGGACATCATCCGTATCATGCTGGGATGAGCGCCAAGATCCTGGCTCGCCTCCTCTGTGCTTTCTCCTCCAACCTTTTCGAATATGCAAAGGTCTTCATACCAGCCATTTTAGCACTAGTCTCGATATCACACCCCCTCAAGCGGTGCAGCTCTTCTCTACAACGCCGAAGCTCAGCTAACAGCATAGTAACTGTTGGGACCTGAAAGTCCGTGTCGAGCCAGAGTCGTCACTCAAGCCTCACCGTCCGACGACTATATATAATATCTTCCTTCGTACGATAAACAGCTTCTGACAGAGGATCACTGGCCCGTCCTCCCAAGGGACCTCCCCGAGATCCTCTCTAACAGCGGCAACGGCTATCCGCGATAATGTCAAAAACTCACAGCAATACAACTGGGTCGTCTCTTGCTTGGATTTCCTTCATTGAGGCCGCTTTCAAATGATCCCTGCCCATCCGAGCTCCATCTTTCTCCAACGTATTCCTCTCTCGTAGCGCCTGGACGTCACCATCGAGAGTCGCTGACATAGTTATCTGCCAATTTATCGTTCGCTAAGGAGGCTCCGAAAATGCTCACTGTCACGCGCCATTAAATGTAGCACGCGCCCGAACAGAGGGCCTGTTTCATAGGAGCAAATTGCGCCTTAAACTTTTGTAACGCCTTGCGTATAAATTAGGACATCCTATTCCACTACTTGAGTAAAAACGTTAAGGCGCCTTAGGTTTTGGAATACTTAAGGCGCCTTAAGTTTCTGTGCATATACTTGAGTTATTACGAGAACTTCTCGTCGAGAAGCATTTACCTTGCAGCTCATTACCAATGGTAACTTACCATTGATACCTTAAGTTAAGGTCCTTAACCATGATCGAGGAAAGTAGTTGCGAAACAGTAAACGACCATAAAAACAGCATACCTCAGATTCGTACCTGCGTCGATCGTATAGTAAATGAACACCCTAACCACTCGAGCATTTATACTATAAGACCAAATATGTAACTCTATTCTATACCTGTAACCATGGTTAAGTAGATACTTAAGTAGACCTTTAGTTAAGGAGCTCCTTAAGTTGCTTCTAAACGTTGTGAAATGAGTTGAGTACTTCTTAAGTATACCTTAAGTAACTCCTTAAGTTGCTCCTATATTTAAGGCGCCTTAAATTAAGTATCCTTGTGAAACAGGCCCAGAGATGTGTGCCGGGTTCTTTCCTGTGCATCTACCGCGACATACCTCCGAGCCCACTCAGAAGCTCAAGATGGCGACAACCTCTCCAGCGAGGCCTCGAAAAGGAGAGCCATTTAGTTCTACCGAACTTCCTGGTTAAGGCGTCCCTCATCAGTGTTTGAAGAGGGCTAGTTTTCTTACATTGCCTCTTCCTGAAGTCCTGCTCAGACTTAGACCCTACCAGATGCGAAATAACGGGTATTTGATAACCTGTTTACCGCGACCATGGATTCCACTGCGACCACAGAAGAAGACATTCGCCATCTATCGGCTCTAGATTTGTGTGCTTTTGCATACCGTAAAATCGACGATCTTGATCTCTATCCAGTTATGGCTCCTATGGCTACTGCACTAGGTCTAACTGGGGATATTGAGAACCCCATCCCCAAAGGACCTCACTTTGAGGTCAATTCCCACCTAAGCTACCATACCCATGGATCTCTCCTGAGATTGTCTGCTCTGATCAAGAATCTATTGTCACCTTCCATATATCAGCAGAGAGTCTCGAAATATCCCTTATTGAGAGATTATAGTTCTACCCCAGCTAGTCTGGAAAATCCAGATCTCCCTGGGTGGGGAATCTCCACTGAGGATCGTAGGTTCTAATACCAGTAAAAGACAAAGTGTGTGCGAGGTACGGCTTGTAGAGCTTATGAAGCTCATGTTATTGAAAATTGCATGTAAAGCCTAACGCTTGAGCGCACCAAATTGAAGACGCTGAGAAACCTGGATTGAGTTCGACGGTCGACCTGTATGGTAGGCTCCGATCCCGGCAGTCGGCTCTGGGAGAGCCTCCGCTGCGGGGGCTCGTCGCTACTACGCGTGTCAAGGCTTGAGCACGATAGGCTGAAGTATTTTGCAGTACTTGCATGAATGATAGGCACACGTCGCAGGTCAACTACCACCAAGCACTGCATGCAATGTGACCAGTATAGAGGTGGAGGTGTAGGAAACGAGCTTTAACTATCTGCCTCATTCCGGAGCAGCTGGCAGCTCTAATGCAAAAGATGCCGCGCCACAGCATTAGATCACTGGTGCCATACATGCTACGCACTAAAATGTTAGTACTTGTTGATGTTAATCACAGTACGCAACGAACAAGGAGTAATAAACACACGATATGGACCATATCATATGGTGCGCCACAATATGTAGAAAATGCAAGTGCACGTAAGTAAGCAAGATTGAGTTGAACGCACCTTATGTGAAAAACCAGGATGTGAACTGTGAAACAAACTAGCGTAGTGTGGATAGTAAAGAGCCCGCAGTAATTCATGCGAAAATGATTCAAATCGAACTGGTCAATAAAAACTTTGCATTTTTGCAGCCGTCGTCAGGCCATTAGTTGTCGCTTGTCGCGTCTGGGGTTTTGTCGCTCGCCCAGTGGGTCCCTCCCCACGGTGGCTCGCGGATCTGTCGATCCCCAAGAGGGTTGTTCCACCGAGTTGGTTGTGACATTAATGACCTCATCGCCAAGTATGATACGTCTTTCCGTTCGATAAGAGAACAAGTTGTTATGACATACCACCATAACATAACAGTTATGTTGGTGATCACACTCGTATCAAGCAATTGACCTGGAAGCTTTCACATCTAAGTACGGTACCACTCTAGGTGAATCGTCTGAAGAGAAGGGGTGATCTGGTGACCGCCGATGATGATGACAATTGTCCATTTTCCGTTCAGCTATCGCGGTAAAGATGGCTATCGTCTACCGCTCTGCTTATCTATCGGTCTACCAACAGTTATCATCTATTTGTCATCTCGTTGTCAATGATGATGAATCTATGACGCGTCGCACGCGGGGTACGTGCTGGCTTTGTTTCGGCACAAGCTACGATTCCGCCTGCCGAAATTTCACGAGTTGAGTTGGCTAGGCTGTAAAAGTCACGTTCATGAACCAACTTGGCTCATGTAACCGACTTTTCCCTAGAGTTCGTCCCAGAGCATGATTAAGTTGAATTTAGCCTCAGAAATCTACGCAACCTATTGGGTTGCGACGACCCAGTCTCACCTTTCCGACTCCCTGCGCGTGCTCATATCAGCCCTTAGAGGGGAAGACAATTCATAATTATCTCTATAACGCAACATAGACAACACCAGCGCAGATTCCTAACATCAACAACAAGAGCATGACATCAGCGCCGAGGCCTCCGCGAGACGAGATTCTCGAAAAACTTCCTTAGCTTCTTGCGGCCTCTAGCAACAATGGAACGAGGTGTTTCTGGTATTAAACTCGAGGCCAGTCCTCGCTTTTCCGAAGTGGACCATATGCCTTTGATGAAGTCGTCCTCACTGTCGGGTGGATCCTCAACGACCCCATCTGAATCCCCTTCCGCGGCAGTGTCAATCTCGATATCCGACCTGATGTCCGGCGGGGTTTCGTCCATGAACAGATCCTCCTCCTTCAACAAGTGTTGGCAAAGAGCATCGACAAAGTACTGCGTCGCATCAGCCTTGCGTTTCGCGTCTATCGGTTTCGGCAACACTTTATACACCATTCTTATAGCACGATCGAGAGCAAGATCATTTTCGGGGTGGGCAAGAATCCTTACACCGTGTTGGAGACTTGAGTTGGTCCATGAGAAGAGTTTATCGTCATCGAAAACCGTCGGGAAGAGCCTAAGATCGATTCCGTATAGCGCCATCTTTGCCAGAACGTTCCTAACCTGTAATCATATCTCCTCATCAATGGCTTCAGTGGGCTAGGAGCATCGCTGCAAAGGAGAGTTTTTCTCAGTGTGACGACGAGTAACACATCTTACAACGATGGGCAGCTTGCTGAATGAAGCTCCAACACACCTTCCCCTTTGTCGGTGAGACCGTATATGGTCCTCACACGGAAACGGAGTTTGAAAGGGCCATCAGTAACTACACCTCCCCGGATCTGTATTGAAGCAAGAAATAGCGGCATATGGCGTCGCATAGAGCTATCACCTTGAGCCCGTCGACTGACGGTCTGTTGCCGTAAGTAAAGTTATATTCTCCCAGCCATTTAGAGTCAACACGAGTCCCATTCTCCCAAGCACTCTCATCCTCCGGCGACAAGCTCTCCTCCTGAAACAGGTACACACTCCAACTAACACTCAAAGCCCCTCCTGAACAACGAACGTGAAGTGCTCCAAACAAGACCCTCATACGCATGTTGCCGTGAAGCGTTGCTTCCGAGGTAGTCACAGTGCCGTTACCACAGGATTTTGCTCATTTCTATACCACAACGACCTAACTCCACGAGCTTACCCCCATCATCAAGTAATTTCTCAATGGATAACTTTCGGCTCCAACACTCAGCAAAGGATCCACCAATTTAAATTTATCAATCCAACCCAGAAGCGGCTCCACAGAGTTTTCAGGCTTCCCAGCCGCCTCCATCGCATCAGCTGGAATGCCAATGCTTCTCCTATAGGGAATACTCGGGGTGTATCCTCGTAAACGAGTACACATAACATGAACAAAGTGATCATTCGCCGTGGATTCGATCATGCTGAAGGTAGCAGCATGCCAAGGCAAACCACCCATTAACGTGTAGAGGCTCCTGATCGAGCCCTTAATAGATTTTCGATCCGCTCTTGTGCGGAACAGGAACTTGCCAACCGCCCGACTCCGTCGTTGAGCCACACCCGGATCCCCATATGGGAAGGCAGGAAATGCTCTGAACGAATCTGATGCGGAATCTCAACTTCCTCTACTCTCCTACTGTGCATTATATACAACTCTTCCTTTGGTCTTGGTGAATCTGACAGTAATTGAATGCTGATTTCCTAGCCAATCAGATAGGATCTGAATCCGCTCCAGATAGGTAGGAGGGACTTACACGAGCTTTGACACGCCATACACCAACTCCCTACGGAGAGGGCACACGGCAGCGCGGAGGACGAGGAACTCCTCGCTATCAGGATCGACATCGAACTGGATCCAGAAACGCGAGTCTTGGGAGTAGACGGTCGTCCGATCAACCTAGGAGACATCTCACACCCAACTATGCTTCCACGAGGAAAGCAAGCGAGCTTCGCAAACGCTAATGACCATGCATGCGTAACTGGCATCGAGAGCTTCATATATGACTATCGCTATAGAGATAGCTGGAAGTGATTCCAGCTAGTAGTTTTCAATCTCTGACACGCGTTTGATACGCGCATCCATTGAGCGCTCGTCTTAACGACAATAACATTGACACTTTCTGAGTTACCTCCAAGTTGGAGGTTCCAACCAGATGAGGCCAGTCCGAGGAACCGCTCGCCCGTCCACCGACAGACATACAGAGCAAAGCTAAGAATATGCTAACACGTGTGAAAAAGTATGCGGTGAACAGCTAGATGTAATTTGCGAGCCTAAATGAAAGGTAGGAGCTCACTTGAAGTCCAATAACAGCAGGAGGAATATCTTTAGCTTGAACTAGCAGATGAGGGGACGCCATCTGATCGTATGAGCATATGGTGCCAGAAGAAACTGCTCTCGCTCAGCCTACCACTATCGAGCTGTACCCTAGCGTGGCAACAGTGCTATTATCCACGACCTGACACGGACTCCATCGCTCTAGGGAATTGTAGATGCTTTCCCAATACAATAAACGCGTGAGTGTGGGTGACTCGGTCGAGCAATCCTGCTAGGAGCCTCACATTATTGTCCAATTTTTTGACGATCAATGGCTGAGCTCGAGCTGGCAGACTGGCACGGAGGACAATGGCGAGGATGATAGGAAGGATTAGCATCGGGTTAACCCAGAGAAACCATCTTATGAGAGAGAAGTATTCGACGGGATCCTCACGGCGCCTAGCTCGAGTAAGCCGTTATGAAACGTGCCAACCGCGACTCTCTCCCTGGAGGGAGACTCCAATGCTTTTGGGGAGCAATCCGTAACGTAGCCTTCAACCGGAGACAGAAGTCATGAATGCCCTTGTCGTGGTATGGCAAACTCGCCTTCTGTCTCTGCTGGTCGGAGGTAACTGGGCTTCCGATGACAAGGCCGGGCTCGCGCGGTTCTCCCAGCACTCTCAGTTCGAACTCCCATCTAGAGTCAGTCCAATCTAATAGAGAGAGGGATGGATCTGTTGTTGAGCATTACGGGCCTAGTGAGCTATCGCCCTTAAACACGGAAGAGCCGACTTCTGTCATTGCGAGAAGGCTCAACAGCTGCCCTCCCCACGAAAAGAACAGAGAGAACATAGGATCGCCTTGTCAAGCGGCAGAATACAGAAGTAAACTAAGGATTTGGCGTCGTATGACAACACATCGGGAGCACAGAGCTATAGAGTGCTATCAGCGATATGTGGCGTTACGTATAGTGTTGAAGACATATACGATGTACTGGAGAACAAATAGGTCACTATAACTATTGAGCAGTGCCGCAGCCAAAGAAGAGGGGAGGACTTATGCTGTCGGAAAAAATCACTCGAGAACAATTGTGCAACGCAGGGAATTCGAGCTGTGAACAGCGTTGGTGAGAGGATGGAGACAGAGGAGGAGACGACCTGCTTTTGTCGACGGATAGAGGATCATCACGTTAATCGAAGCAATACGAAATCGATGACTTAGATTCAGCCTCAGCCTTACCTTTAGGACTAGGTCCAGTTATAGCCATACTTTCCACTGCTCAGCGCGGCAAGACGAGACGATACGGTGATTAGAGATTAGCAGATAGCCGATCAGCAACGACAGACCGAGAGACTGGGGGGGGGGTTTACCTTTGCAGGTGTTTTTGTCTCCGATTGCTGCCAAACGGAGGCGCCGAAAAATGAATATAAATAGACTTAACCGGAGGGACTATCAGTAATATCCTATATTTTAGGTCGGACTAAGCTATCAGTTTGTGAATCTGGTGATTCCAATCCGAAACCGTTAGATCCGAAACCGATAGATACGCAACGACATCGGGCGCAGGCCAATCGAAGATGCGCAGGTACATGATTCACGATTGTGCGCGATTTACTTCCCTCTCCCGGGTAGCCACAGAGGGCAAGAAAGCAGGGTTTGATGCGTGATGTCTCTCTTTCGAGGCCTTCGTCTTCCAATGATCAAGAGGCACCGCATGGCTTCATTAGGCGTCAGTGACACCGCGTTACCTCACGTTGATTCCCGTCGCGTTCGAATCGCTGCTTTCAATGCTTTTCAACGTACGCCTGTCACTGTTGTTATCATCGCCGGCAGCTATTATCGTTCATCACCCTCCCTGGGCTATACACGAGAGCTCTGCGTGATCGATCTTGACTATTCGTGCTAGAGGCAATGGTGGGCATAGGGAGTACCACGGGCACTCTATTCTTCTCGGACGCGGGAGGGACTACTGCTTCACTATCTATTAGCTGGGTGAGTGCCCCTGTTGAGAATGGAGTAGCAGGAGGGCAAGGAATGACTTCATACAGACTGTCAGCGTCGGCCTCGGTGACATCTCTATACCCTACCGCTTGAGTACGGTTGTATAGCAAATGTTGAACAGAAGTGAATATGGTAGTTGATTTCGCAAGCGGGGAAAGCGGAGGGAAACGATGGAGAAGTTAGTGTCCACTTGTCGGCGACTTTGAGAGAAATGGGTAAGTTCAAGGAGTGAGCTCAGGATGGTGACACTTCAACTCCGGAGGAATTCTTTCGGCTGCGTAGAATATTGTAGTCGGAGAAAGGGAGCATTAGATCTCTGCAATATGTATGAGGTTGGCTCTAGATCCCGAGTTCGTTCCCTGGACCTGTTGTTTTTAGTCAGATATAACGGTTATTGAAAATATGTAGAGACACGGTAGGAGTATACGAGCATGAGGTGAAGGGATTTGGGATAAGATTCGAACCATGCCAGTGGAGACTAGAAAATTTCCAACCATACTAGCCTTTCCGGCGATTCTGAAGGTGTCGAGGTCTGACGAGGCTGATGGCCCTCCTCGCTCCCCAACGTTGTGATTGAATGGAGATTCATCATCCTCACCGGATCTCGAATCGATTGTATGCTCGATCACACGAAGTTGTGAGCGTCATACGATTTCGAGATCGTGAGGGCGAGCGCTGAAGATAAGTCTGCACGCACGCACTGCACTGGTGGGGACTCCGATTCGAGTGTCGAGGTCTGACGAGGCTGATGGCCCTCCTCGCTCCCCCCCAGTGTACCCCCCAAGCAAGAGAACATGACTGCATGACAGGCTTCAGTCGTAATTGTAATATCCTCTTTGAGTTTCTCAGTGGTTCAATGGACGTCTGGTGGTGAATTGCTGTGAAGATATTTAATTGAGCTTATCGATCACCAGATGTCAGGCGGGCCCGCGGACACTACAATGGGTCCATTGGTCAATCAGAGGTACATACAGAGGATGGTGGGACAGCGTGTGAGGCTGATAGGGAAGGTAATACGTTTCCAACCGAATAACGCAGCTCGTATGAAGGGTTTTGTGCTTCTCGTTAACCTTGTGATACATTTTTCGGAAGTGTAGGGAAACCGGTTACGCATAGTCACGGGTTCTAGCGATTCACTCGTGCCTGTATTTCGACGTTGAGTGTTAATGTAACCGATCTTCTTCAGCTGGCCAGCCAGCCGAACCCCCAGAATGGTATGTTCAGTGTGATGGCATCAGACACCGGGGAGATAACCTGCCGTCCTGAGCAGGGTTTCCTCTGTGTGCAAGGTCTGGCGGCTTCGGCCTCTCGAGGGGGAACAGAGTAGCAAAGCTTCGAGTAGGATAGTTTTGGAAATGGTGCTTGCTCAGTATCGTTGTCCATGCTGTTGGTACTGTGAATCCTGATGGGAGTCTGTCGGTTGAGCAGCCACCGTGGGAGATCGGCCACGACATCAGTCTACCACTCCTCGACCAAGCCATCGAACTCCAATTCAGGTAGTATTATCTTCGATGGTCCACATGGTTGTGGTTATGCTGGTCATTGCAGAGCTCCATTTACCCAACTTTACGCTCCAGTGTCAGCTTGAGGTGGACAGGAAAGGAGCCTCTGCTGCTATTCCCTTTTGCTCGTGTATGTTGGGTTCATCAATATGGAGGTATTACCGGAGTTGTGAAGTTGCTCAGTGGGATGTCCTTAGATCATAGCGTGCTTGATAACAGTAGGCAGAAATTCCTACTCGCGACTTCGCCACATTACGATTGATGTTAACTAGGATTGAGAGTTGGCTTATTAGACGTCTGGTATTAGGCAGTGGTCATAACCAACGACACCATTGTACAGGCTTAGGGCGTTTGGTATTGTACACTTACATGTTCTTGACTTCGCCATCCCTGCTCTCGATCAGCATGCAACTGCGTCCCATTCCAATTCGCAGTTCCGTTGTACAGCTATCTCTCGAGCACTGAGAGAGCTCTCACCATCAGCGGTTCGACTTGGCGTTTTCCATCATCAGGATTTCACTCGAACACGCAATGTTTCGAAGCAATTCACATCGATTCCAATATATTCCCCTGTTGCTGTTCCTGTTATCGAGCGATCCCGTCTTGAGCGACCTTGACAATATCTATCCACCAGTAGTGTTGCCACACCTCGCCAGGCCAGCATCGACTCCTCTTCAGTAGTCCTATAAGACCAACCCTATAGCGCGGCATCTCACTATCACAGTTCTGCCTCAGACACCGACTGTTTTCACCTTGCCAGGTCGGCTCAGCGTTTCTGTGAGCAGTCGTACAAACCAAGTGCAGGTCATGAAGACGCCAGCGCTTCCCTTGAGTACTACATCGAGAGCCTTCCTGAGCGAGGAGACCTGTACGAGACTTCACAGTCGTACCGATCCTTTAATGCAGCACCTTATACAGCCCCAGTAGTGCTGGAGGAATACATGCTGCCGTTCAAGGTAAGAGTGTGCTTCTCGGACATCTTCCATCGGTCAATTCCATGCTTAGCCGTGAGCTTCTTGTTATACTGTTGACTTATTGTATGCTTCGTATCCGGTTCTCAATAAATGCGTTGTCCCACTGCCCATCATTCTCGAACGATCAAGCGTGAACAGGGCCGATTGCAGTCTCGTGAGTGCGCTCCTCTCCGACTGTACTCTCCTACGAAGCATGAATAGCATACATAGGATTGTTATGATCATTCGATGCTGGAATAGGTAACTGATGCTTACGCCCGGATAGTCTACGTGCCGCCAGTCGATTATGCAGAGGATTTTGAAGGTGAAAAATGGTGGTCTAGTTAGTTCCCTTCTGAAGCGGTCTTCAGGGAGCTGGGCACATATTCATTACTCTGTGAAGGAGCCGGTTTCGGCCAACACCAGCGATCTAGGGTGATCCCTTTCCTCGGACCTAGCCAGATTACATGTTCACAGAACGGTGGTCTTCGCTAACGGCCAGGGTTTCGTAGCGGCATCCAGCTTCACAGACAGCTGTCAAGGATGGACCATCGAAGACAATGGCAATCAGGTTGGTTTCTCCCCGTCGACATGACGCCGAGCTGTGATGGTCAGGTAACGGCTCCCGAGCATCAGCCGTACACCTTGGGGGGTCTCGATCGGTGAGATCGGTGTACATAGTTTGCCCAATGGTGTAACAGTTACTGTCTGGGCTATGATGACATCATGTACACTGACTTCAGCGATGGATCGGATATAGTACAGTGGAAGTTCGTGTCACCACAGTACAATGTCACTGGTAAGCAGTGGGCACACGCATTACTTTCACGCTAACTCCCTAGTCGGAAATCTACCCATGACAATGTTCATAGTTATCTACATCTAGTAAAGGAAGCGGTTGCTTCATAACAACATTCGAGTTCTCCCGTGAATCAGCTTCGACCGTCTACAGAGCTGAGCATCTACGAGGGGCCTATGGTGGCTATCTATCCTTCACAGTTCGAAGCACCTATGGAGACTTCGCTTCTGATTTTCTCAACAAAGCCAATATCTGGTGGGCGGTTGAATCTGCTGCAGATTAGTAACTTGGCTCGTATACTGCTCAGGGTTACACTAGAATGTGCCGAATGCAACAACCAGCGCGGTCTGAGGATCGTTAGGGAAACGCAGGTGAGCAAGACTCCCATCGTTGGCTCTGGCGGTGACAACCTGCCGTATCAGGCTGGAAGTTTGACTTGGGACGGCAGTGAGCAGACGACCGTGCTGAGACTCGCCTCTGGTGAGAACTGGATGAAGGACCCATTGAATAGCGGTGGGTGTACTTGGACAATAATTATCCGGACTGATGCAATAGCTCTTCCATTCACCGATGCAACTGAGTGCGAGATTGCAGCGGTATTGTGGAATCTGTCGAAGATGAAGATTCTAGGGGACTTCTCTAAAAGCGGCGAGGTCTTAAGTCTGTATCAAGCGCCTTGAGTATCCCATCATGTAGGGTGTAGCCATTGACGACGTTTCCGTCTCCCATGCATACGCCTCGATGAGCGGATCTTCGGCAGTGAACACTCCCTCCGCCTTCCCTCTAGACTGTCAGAAGGGCTGTACATGCAACCACTACCCAGCCGTGCGTAGCATTGAGTATGTCGTCATTGGTGATAGCGAGTCCGGGCATCGTCCAGTGCAGGTGTTGTGGCTTCACTGTGGGAGCCTGAACAGCATGCTTCTTGTCTCTGTTATTGAGTATTGTGTTGCTCAGTTGGGCTCGCAATAGGGACGTGTGCAAAATGGGTTACAAAATGCCTCGAAATTCGAGGCATTTTGTCGAGGCTCGAATATTCAGTAGTAGCACGGACACTCAACTAAATAGAGCAGATATGAACAGATCTTCATTGAGCAGTTCACTGTTGGCGTTAATGCGTGCTTGGAGTAGTGTATTGTGGGAAATACTGAGTGGTATCCACAGTGTGGATTGCAAAAAAGAGGACTATCTAAGAAAGAGTTCTGCAACCTGCGAAATGTGATAGAAAGCCGACTTTCGGAGAGTACTAGGAGAACAACCACACTGTTTATCCTTGCTGAGAGAAAGCAACGCGAGCACAAACTACATGGGATCTTATAGTGGCCTCAACGGAATCACAATCTATCCAGCGCCGAATGCGGTGTCGACTTCCAGTAGCCAATTGCTGTTGAATACATGGCTAAGTTGAGCACATTGGAGAAGAGGAATGCATCTGCCTCCGGGCGGAATCGGGCGTGTAACAAGGGAATTCATCATCTTAGCTCGTTCTACTGTGAAATTTATGGTACTATGGCCTAGAGTGGTGTGGCATAGCCGCCCCATTCGAAGAAATCGATTCGATCAGTGCATAACTTTAAGTGGCATAGCCGCCCCATTTAGGGAAATTGCTTGTTTTGAGGTATGGCTTGGGATGAAATAGCAGCCAGCGTGGACATATTGATTGTAATGAGGTATATCTTGCAGTGGCATAGCCGCCCCATTCGAAAAAATCGATTCGATCAATGCATAAGTTAAAGTGGCATAGCCGCCCCGTCTGAAGAAATTGATCTTTCCAAGAGCGAAATAAGCCTTCGAAATGTGCAGCGTAGGATGATTCGGGAGATGTGCTGCTTGTATGTCGCCGACATCATCGAACTGTGCTCACAGCAAAGTCGAAGAAAAAATTGTTATTCGGTTGCATCTCTGAGGCTACTGCTCCTCGGAGGCCTTTCTTCCTCACAGTGTGGTCTCTCAGAACCCTCCCGAATTGAACCAAGTCCGAAAAACATCGATTGTACAACCTCAATTCAAGTCAAATCCTACTGTGAGCTATGGGAGTCTTCGGTACGTCTTGATCACAAGATGAATCAGTTAATCGCCATTATCAAGTGTACCATCCTCTCCGGTGTATCGACGCATCATGTCGGCGATGTAGACAGCCTCTTGCTCTTCACGTTGTTGTTGGTTGAAGGAGGTATTCGTTCCGTATAACTTTTAGTGGCGTTCCTCATCTGCCATTAGACAATAGTAATAGCTCAGGATGAATATTATGGATCAGACAGAAGTTGACCACAGCATCTTACAGTGGAGACTATACTCCACCATAGGAAGCTATCTTATGTTTACTCTCAAGTCTACCTTGGCGGGGATCCCTCTCAGACGTGAAACTTCGGCATGATGATGAACGTCGCTGGGCAGGTCCGAGAGGCATCACGTGGATCATCAGCCGCAATCAAATCATTCGAGGGATGAATGACAACTCATACTGGGCCTTTCAGACGCACCACTGACCTCCAACTCGACAGCTGACTGTAAACCGAGTGGATCCCACCACACAACCACGAGTGTAGCCAGTAGCACTCATCAAAAAAATTGTTCAATACCACTTAAAGACGATAACCTTATCATCTTTGGTCAAGACTTAACTGATGGTCTGAGAAAGTGAACGTCCGAGAAGGGATGCCTTCCTCCCGTAACGCATGAGTTTTCTCTTAAGCTGGGCCATGCCCTGACATACGATTGTGCATGAACGAGTCACCGCCTCGCTCTTCAGATGAGCTTCATCGGAGAAAGGCGCGCCGTCACCACCACCAATGATAGCAAGGACGCAGCCAGCCTTGACACCATAGACCTGAGCCAGACTGAAGAGCATGGCTACTTCCATCTCAGAGGCTAGGCAGCCGAGATTCTCCAATACTTCCATATAGCGTTTGTGCTCAGCAGCATAGGGGCCGAACTTGAACTCCCTCGCCATGAGGGAATCCTTAGAATGGACCGGACCAGCGTCGTAGACCCATTGAGCACCTTCCTTGAGCTCTTCATCTTCCGTCTCGAGCTGGTGTTGGGCAGCGCTACACATTGCCGTGACAACAGCAGCCGATCCAAGGGCAGGGAATTCGAGAGGCATGTAATGCCTCGATGTACCCTCATCACGAACAGCGCCAGTAACGATAACGATATCACCGATTCCGAGAGTCTTCTGCATGGCACCAGCGGTACCAACTCTGACGAGGACCTTGGCACCAAGCTTGATCATCTCAGTGGCGATGATGTCAACACTTGGAGCACCCATACCGGTAGAGATAATACCAATGTCGACCACCGTTCCGTCAGGGGCCTCGTACTTGCCAATGTAACCATCATGACCACGAGGAGAAGCGATCACCTCACAGTCCTGGAGGAAAGTCTCCGCGATCTGCTGCGCGCGATCGCGTGATCCGGGAAGGATCCAGAAGCGACCGAGGCCGCCATTGCCGAGGCAATGTTCTGGAGTGACTGTCACGTGCATGGGCTTGAAGTTTGGATCGGTCATGTTCGGAGGAAAACGATCGAGCTACGAGTAGCCTCAAGTCTACAGGGAGCCTCGACTATCCAGACTCCGGAATTCCCGAAACCATCCCTCACACGGTGCGAGTCACACCGACGAAGTCGCGAGACGGCAGCTCACGGAGCTTGCTAGTCCCGAAATCCGGGATCCGGTCTTGTGAGTCTACAGATGGAGGATGCTGGTTGAGGGAAGCAAGGCCGACACGCAGGCGCAACAGAAACCGGAGGTCGCGCTGCCAGCGCGGCGCTAGGAAAACACAACGTGATGGGACATAATGCTTCGGTGCTGCGGACAACCGCGCTCCATTCGCGAGTCGTGGATCACGACCATTGCTATAGAACAGTATTTCAAAGAGACCCTTCCTCCATGATGGTGTCATAATGGGCTTGCTGTTACGATGACCCTAAGCTCGATACTAAGGAAATCTCGCCTATGGAGCTCAGTGTCATGTACTGTTGCATGTGAGAGTTGACAGCAGTGTGTTGTACCAGTAGCATGTGAAAAGGTTGCTTTGAAAGCCTTCAGACCTGAAGGCCGCCAGCCTGGCTTACTTGAGCAGTCCAGATTTTACCAAATGGCGTTTGGACCAGACCGTCTTGCCCAGACAGAAAGAGAATCTATATTGTGCGCGCTGCGCATGCGTGCCTGCGAGTGGTTGCGTGCATGAAGCCAATGCCACCAATGGCTATATGCCGATCCTGATTAGTGGGGTGAGCCAGAGTATTTGCCCAGTTGAAAAGATTAAGAGATGATTATAAACCTCTGATTCACTGGTTTTCAATCAGTCATCGCGATCATTGCGACGAGCTATGAATTTTCATCCTGATTCGCGAATAAAGAACTGATCATCTGGCAACCAAACCTGATTGAAAATCTCACTCTAAACGTCTTGTCCACGAAGCTGATTTCTCGGCCGATTCCATTGAATTTGAATCTCCCTGAGACTGATGAGGCCACGATATGATTCGGACTTTTATGACAAGACGACGACTATAATCCCTATGGCAGACAACAAAGAGTCACACGTTCACGAAAGAGAACAAAATCCCATCGTGAAGATCCAACCTGGGGAATTCGCTCCCCATACACATACATTCCTAAGAAATGTATGTGTATGGGAACGATTCCCCACTTCGCCGCATCATCGGATTAATTCTTCTGCGGAAATATTCCGTTGAATATGTACACATCCGGATTTCAAATTTTTCGAGACAAGTCAGTCGACTAATCCCAGGGGTCGACAGTTGAATAATTTGCATCATGTATTCTCACAGTCCAACCAAATGAGGACCTTCCTTCCTGCACTGAAGACCTTGTATGCGCTCCCGGATGCATATCAGCAATGAACAAACTAGCGCGAAGTCTATCAGCGCACATGGAGACATGCACATCGCTCGAGGGCCCCAGTGACTTAATCATAGCCTGTGTTACAGACTGTGTAACGACTGCTCACAGGCATGTGTGAAGTGGTGAGACCGCAACAATCTTATCCCCGCTGGCGTGAACAATCTCTGAAGCTGAGACTTCGCGATGGCGTCGTGACGGTGGCCACCACTGAGCGGCGACTCCCTTCCATCAGAAAGTCGGAAAGAATTAGCGAAGTATAAGACGTGAGCATAGGAGCTCGTTTGGGAGGCCCAAATAGCTACATGAGTATACGGACGCTCCGCAGTTAGCAGTTCCTCGAGAGCATCAGAATAAATCATGAATCCCGTACTTTCTAGGCTTTGAGGCTTCCTAGGCTCATGAACTGATAGCCTACGAGCAAAACGATGTCGGATCACAATCACTGTTTGCCACACGATCCGAAACCCCGGATGGTATATGCCATGGGAGATACGTGAGATTGCAGAATATCCACAGGCTGAGTTCGACCAACTCCATCTTCACGGAACCGATGGACACAATGAAAGACAGGGCTTTGTGATGAGACACAAAAAATCGATGAGCGATAGCGTCTTCAAGCAGCTATCTATCTATCCTCGTCTGATATATCTATCAACAAGCTACTCGTCATATCTGCTCTTCTAACATGAATCGTTTATTGATACCTTACGTGGCCATCGTCTGTATGGTGGGTACTGTTGTTGGTGAAGATTGTCATCGGGGTGACGAAGATTGTGCAGCGGTTCAAGCTGGCTCTTACTGCAAATATTGGCAGAATCCCCCAGTGTGTTCGGGCAGCAATTTACTATGTTCCTGCGACACTCAGCCTAATCACAGCACCAGTGCGGAGATACCCAATACGCCTAGCTCAAGTGGCGATGTTATTACAACGAAAGCACCAATGACATCGACTAACTTACGGTCAACGACAATCCAACTATCAACTACGTCCACTTCGACTAGTTCATCTCCTACAATGACAACAACTGCAGTGGCTACTGTCCCTACCACGACTACTGCTCCTACTACGATAACAAATGTCACAACTATTGCCCCTGTTACGACAACAACTATCCCTACTACGACAACAACTGTCACGACTACTGAATCTACTACTGCATCTCCCACAAGCCCGTCGAGTTCTGAAAAACGCTTCTCGACGTATACTTGGTCTCAAAACTACTGGAGGGGTGACGATGAGACCCTCGTGGACTTCGGCGCTTCTGATATGGGGAAGTTGTGGAATGCCGGTGATGTTTATGTGAACGTTGCTGATGTTACCAACTATGACCGGATTCACAATCAAGATCGCCTTGTTCCTTGGATGAAGCAGTGGCGTGAGAAAACTGGTAATGACCAGCGTATCTTCTTGACGTACGGTGACATCGAGAAGCATAATGGCAAGAGAATGATTGCTTTCGTGGATACTTTCCGCAAGTTCTTAGAAGACTCGGTTACGTCAGAGGACATGGCTGTGATCGCGCCTATCGGTCTGAGTTTCGATACGGAGCACATGCAACCCGAAGACATTAAGGAGACTTTGCTGCAGGCTCAGCAAATGAAGGACGATGTTACCGACAAGATGGGGTATGCTCCTGGTTCGTTGCTTATTGATTTCGCCATTGAGGGTCAGAAGAATACTCTGGGTACTCAATATATTATGCAGTACGCCGATCATGCTACGATGATGCTCTATCGTAATGCTATTGATGGGGATTATGCGGACGATCTTGTTTATCGTATGAATTATATGATGACCGAACAGTGTGCGGTGTGTACTCAACCAGGATGGGAGAACTTGAAGGCCAAGATCACCATCATGTTGGAGGGTTCCTGCACAGTTGGCAAATACTGCCACAAGCTTTCTATGTGTGCTTTTGACACAGCGGTTTATCCCGATTCTAAGGGAGGTATTGAGTATATTTGGAACACTCTCAATACGCTCCGGGAGCGAACTGTTACTGATGGTATTTTGACCCAAGAACAGTTCAACCATCTTTATGATATCGATGGAACTCTTTATGCCCTCAATGATTGGGAGTGGGCCCGTTGTGCCTATGGCAATGATTTCTCGAAGGAGATGGGTTTCTCTAACTGCAACAACTACCATACTATGGCCTCTCAATGTCGAGCCGAGTAGTTGTCCTTCACTTGACGATTTACCAGGTGCCCATTATAGGTTTCCGAAGTGTTACTAGTTTCATCCTCAGATGAGTTTTGTTATGTTGAGTGATTCTATGCTAATAACAGTTCGTTAACCTTTCCGGGATGCGAATAAATAGACAGATAGAGACCAACTGAAATAACAACAATTCATGTAGAGAAACATATTCAACTAATCTGAGCATGATCAATTTCTCCTACTCTAATTCTCAGTAAGAGTTCCACTCCTCTATCTCCAGGGTCGGGTGAAGTAGCACTTATGTGCAATCGTAGGAGAACTTGCCAGAATCTGCAAAGGAAATTACTCTTAGGGAACAATACAGAAATATTGACGGATTGTGTGCATTCTTTCCGAGTGTTATGATCACTTGATATCTGGCGAGTGCGGTTTCAACGTCACTCGACTGAGTCCTTCACGGAGGGGCGACTTAATACTATCGGCGGACAAGGCGGACGGTCTTTGGGCCTTCTGGACGGTCTGAAGCACCATATGTCACTGAACTTGCCATGAATCTATCCCTTCGCCGAAAGTAGGGAAGAGAAATGCAACGCTACCAATTTGACAGCGGCTCGATGCCGTTGAGACTGCACGAGCTCTGGGGGTGAATCCCGAGTCACCATCTGAGGGAAAGAATATACAATACTGAATCCTCTTTCAGCATATTTCCTGACTACCTCACTCTCAGAAATGTCAATGTCTGAGCCTCCAACAACGATGACAAATGGCTCAGTCACGAAACGCATATTAGGAAGAACCTCTGCGTGCCTGTGGGTGTCGGAATTGCTATGATAACGAGCCAGCCTGGTGTACCAGGTTGTACGTATAGCAAGTCGGAATAGCAATGATACTCAGAAAAAAAGGCTCCTCAAGGAGAGAATCTCCCCGACTCAAATATTATGAACTTGTTGAATAATGAGAAGGGCAGAAGTACCTCGCTTCGTGTTGGGCGACCTCGCCGGGCCAATTGGAGTGACAGGGAGGCACGAGTTTCTCAAGGAAGTCGTCATTCAATTTCGTGTCAAATTTAACCTAAGAGAAAACACTCAGGATATGTGCGCTCCTCAGGTTCAAGCTCATGACCATGACAGTACCGCTGTTATGCGAAAGCCAGTCTAATGACCAACTACACCATAAACACTCGGTATCAGTCACAATACCGATTAGTTCTCATGAGGACGCAACAGATTTCTCTGGACGCTTCAAGAGGGCGCCAAAGGGTGTTACCATCCCACAGAGATATTCAATTACAAGTGAATACGTCAATTTCTAAAGCTCTACACACTTCGATCGGTTCCGATCTCGGATTCCGCAAGGTAAGATAGAACTCTAGAGAATCCTCGCCAACCGGCATGGTCGGCCGTGTGCCTCCCCTGCCATCCCTCAGCATGCAAAGGGGAATGAAGTCACTAGCATAGGCTCGCATAGAGTACCTGTAGAGGACCCATGCTAGCCACCATATTAAAACGACGAGTAGAGCACATACGGCTGGCTGTGGTCTGGAAGGATCTGCGACTTCAACAGCAACTTCTTGCACTTTGAGGCGTGCCGGAAACTACGGCGGGATGCCAACCGACATCGAGAAGGTGACGATATAGTCTGCCTGAACGGGGACAGGGTTTCGCATTAGACCTACTAGGACGCGAAACGTGGTAATTGAGGAGATCTCGAGAGTTAGTTTCATCTTCCTGTGTGAAAATATCAACAACCTGGTCTTACAACGGTCCATCATGCTTGGCCTGACGCAGGTCAGCAATGGTTGACCCAGGAGGGAAAAGTATCTCGAGGCAAGACCAGTTGCGGTGGCCACGTCGAATACTATTGTTCCACGACGAGAACACTTTCAAAGATCAGTCGGGTGTGCGACGCACGGAGAGCCGCTTGGAACGCTGAGTATTGATGGAGTACAAAAAGAGTACCCTCGGCATCAGCTAGGGTAATGGAAAGCACTTGCCGAAACTTGCTAACTCTCAACCAGCCACGCCCCGACATGACAGCTATCGATGCTCTCCTTCCTCGTTTTCAACGAAAAAATCATCAGAGTAACCTTGAGCTCACTTCAGCCTCTCGACTTACTCTGACACGCTCATCCTCATTTCTGCTCAGTGGAAGACCATCTCTTGCGAATTCCGCTTCTATAGGCGATGAAACTTCCAATTTGGCATCCAAATCAGTGAGAGACCAAGGCGAGGAGGAGTCTCTCAGATGCCTTACGGCCCTGCCCGTCAATAGGTAAACAGGTGCACCGGACAAGCTCACCTCCAACCAGCAGCTTTCGAGGGGCGACTGCGCGGAGAGGCGTACTCAGAAGTCTTCAAACAGCGTTCGCGATAGACCGGCAGTACATCACGCCTAGAGACGATCCTCGCACAGTGAGAAGGAGAGGAGAGTTACATCCACTCGGCATCAGCACAGGCTTCCTCGAGGCTTCGCGCCTTGGAAAGAAGAGCGTCTGTGGATGCGGCGATGAGACCAGCTACGCTCGAGTGATAATCACAGTCACTCGTGCATGCTAGCTCATACACTTCTTCAGATGAGCCACTGCAAGGCAATGATGGAGAGAAGCGCTACTCAATATCAGCCATTCCAGGAAGATCACCGGACGTGACGACCCTTTGCTCACCTGCGATCTTCCGCGCTGAGACAAACCACCTGAATGGAGGCGCAATCGAGGGCGCTGGTTCAACATAGTCTTAAAGTAAAGGCGAGGAACGGTAGATTATGAAACCACAGACAACGCGAAAATAGCAATCATACTAGATCGAGAACCCTCCGCAACCAAGTAAAACTCACATCGAGTATCCGTTGGCAATCAGGACACTGGAAACACTTCGGACACCTACCGAGGAAAACCACCACATGGTGAGCCATACAGACGGACCCATCCGAAATAGATATGAACGAGTGCAGCAGTCTTGCCTTGCAGCATTCCACGGAATACGACTGATGCCGTTAACTAAGCTGGCGGTCTATGAATCTCACCTTCCTTTATGTGCGGTCACCGCTGACTGAGGCAGCACCTCCAGACAGTTTGTACAGTAGTAGCTCACGACCTCCTCATCTATCTCCGAGGGTGAAGCAAGACGCTTACATCTGGACAGCCTCAATTTGGCTTGAAGCATCACCGCAATGGATAACATTACAGCTACCCGAACTCACCCACTACACATGAATAACTCATAGATGCTCATATCGGTCTTCCAAGCTTCTACTGGACTGAATTCATCGGCTGCAGTCTGATGTACTCGGGAGCCTGATCGAGCAGGGATAAAACACATCAGACGAAATAGGAAGAGTTCACCCTGAACATCGTCGTTCGCTTGCCATCCAACGATGTATTTAACCCCAATTGCATCCTCCTCCCCTAGGACATCCTTCAGATACTCCCTAGCTGGCCGGAAGTGGTCGACCGCGGGAGATACCCAAGGCATTGAGATCGCTAACAGACAGTCAACAAAGCACAATGAGATTAGTTCACTAGCAAGCTGGCTCTTCAAAAAAGGGGCATTGATACCTCACATACTATACACAGCGTACAATACTAATTCCTCACAAACGCAAAATGGAAAACCGAGAACAAAACGACACGCCCCGATCGGGTGGTTGCATCGCTAATTGACACCACTGAACCAAGCACGGGAAAGTAACATATCATCGCTTAAAAAATATGAGCCACTGAGTACTGATGTCAATGCGAACAGCGTTGTGATGAAGCTATCAGTGCATGTGAGGCGAACGGACGCTTTTAACACACGACTTCATTCGTTCAGACACAACACCATCGCATGGCATCAGACTCGGGCTGATTAGGTAGGCCTAACCCTCCAGGGCCTTCAGAATTGATGACGCCACCTTCTCGAATGACGCCTAAGACAAAATCTGAATAAGTCCAGTCCAAGCAGAGATGTAGCTGTACCGGATTAGAGTGCAGGAAGCCATCGCCGTTCTGCTTGCTATGGACGATAGTACCGTCAACAGCGACCTCGAAGTTCCCAGTGACACCTACACAGACGAGAGGTAGCTCATCAAAGGGGCTAAGGAGAGTAGCATATAGACTCAGAGGACTCACCTGGGTCCTTCTTGGGGATGAACTCGACACTATCCTGCTTGTCACCGAGCTTTTCCTTCAACATCGCCACCACTTGATTATAATATCTGAGGACATGAGTAGAACGGCAAACACACAACTGCCTCTCACCTGCCGTAACCTCAGCCACCACAGTACTGGATCGAAACCTTAACTTTGCGAGCGGAACCCATAATAGAGGACGCGGTACGCGAGGGAGCACGAAAAAGTAAACTGCATGCGAACATCCAGAACAACGGCGAGGAACCAATGAACGGGTGGTTAGAGATAAGACTGTAAATGACAAAAGAAAGTGTGTAGGTTATGAAACATTCGAGTAGAAGATCCTTGCACGCATGCGCTCAAATCCTTCGCGGTGCGCATCAAGAATCTTGTTTCAATCTGTCCCCAAGGCATCGTCCCGAGTGACTCAACGCTCATACATCCTACAATAACAGGACTTGAGTACCCTACATTAGTGTAACAGTGCGGAGTGTTGCAACAGGATCGCTAGTAACAGTCTACTACCACAATACACAGTCCTATCACGAATTCACAGAGTATGAAACACTTCCCGTTGTACAACTGCATGAGAATGAAGTCCTTTGCTATCCAGTACTCCTCGAAATTCGTTCACATTACCATTTCTCGGTAGTGAGCAGTGTGAGCTTCTATGTCGAAAACCGAAGCACTCCCAGATAAAAATGTAACGCAACAAGTTGATCAGTGATCCTCAATATCTTGGAAACTTCGTCACCGGTAGGGTGCTCGGAAGCAGAAACGCTATTCATACACTGATGCCATCATCCGTCAATGTAGATGAGGCAGCGTCGATCGAACGCGAGCCCCATTGACTAACCATATCGAAGCAATGATACACTAGTAGTGCTACACAAGTCATCACTAGTAGTAGTAAACGTATAGGAGGCAGAGAGATGTCCACTACTCCAACTGCGATAGGTTGTAGGGACGACGAGTGACCACCAAAATAATGGGAATGATGACTGTAAATATAAGGGAGAATATAGACGATAATAGGATAATGAAAGTCACATAGTTTACGGGTCGCCGAACTAGTCGGCTCGCTAAAAATTGACGACAGTATCTAACCAGACTTTTCTCTTCCTCAGTGAGGAGACAAAGCGACTGGCAAAGCGCGGGGGCTGCTACCGCTCATTTGCAGAACTGTTGATGTGCTAGTTTAATTAGCTACCTAACGACAACACATACAGGCCTCAGCCGCTGAATGCGTGCTAAAGATGGTAGCAGCTACTAAAGAGCGAAATAATATCATTATAGGTCGAAACAATGAACGACCAAGGATTAGGGGTTGTCGCCAATTCAGCTAAACAAACTTTGACTCCTTTTTTCAATTTTCGGACAACAATAACTTCAACTGTAACATGCATTCGACAAGGTTCGAATACCACCAAATACCACACAGTGTCCTCACAGGAGCTACTGTCTAGGCCAGACTCCTCGAGGCTTCGACATCTGATATGCTACACCTGAGCGCAATGGAACTGTCATGACGACTCACGAGGCGACTTTACTACTATTACCCTTGAGCTCGTCGGAGCTGTAGTCGCTAAGAGTGCTCATATATTGCTGCTGCTGCTCCTGTTGGGCTGCCGCTGTTGCAGCAGCTGCTCGAGACATGCCAATGTAGTTAGCATGATGACACGACTGACCGTCGAAGTCTTTCACCTAACACAAGTCGCTAAAAATTATCCTCTCTCTACGAGGCTGCTACCTGTATAGGGAATTCGCATGAGCACGGGTCTTGGAGCTCCGCATCGGTGTCGAAGAAGCGAACAGCACCACCAGTGTTAAATTTAACACTCTTAGTAGTAGACTTCTTCTCGACCTTAGTGGGCGACTCCAGTGAAGGGGGAACTCTATGGTTAGCAGCGGCATTGTTATAAGCATCCAGTAGTTGCTTATCCAAGCACATCTCATAGAGATCATTACTGTTCTTGCCCAACTCCAAGGCCACCAAACTCCTCTGTGCGAAATTGGGTGCTGGTCTTCGACTCTGCTGCTGCTGTTGCCTGACCGTGTGACTACCGACAGGCCCACTACCATATAGCACAGCGGGATCGATATCGTCATCATCACTGTCACCATCCATCATATCGCAGTCACCGTCATCCTCGTCAGTAGTAGTGTCCATCATAAACCAGTCTTCGACAGGTGTCTCTCGCCTCTGCTCGGCATCGTCCTGTGCCGCTGCCTGGGCCTCCCACATCGACCAACACTCATCACAGAACGCCTCACCAGTGAGCTCATCCTCCCAAAGAGCTACGCCAACGCGTTTGCAGTTGTCGCAGCTACTCATAGTAGCAGCAGCAGTAAGCATAGGGTTGGGTACACTACTCGAACCAGGGTCTCCCGACACTACTGTCAATGCTGGCTGCGACCGCTCCACCACTTGAGTTGGTATTAGCTGTACACGCTGCAATGGAGCTGCTGTCAGCTGCCTCACACTGCCTCCCTCGTGCGACTCGACCATCGACTTCAGCTGCGATATAGTCAATTTGTCCTGACTAAGTGGTAGGGCAGGAGAGCGTCTCGACTTAGTCGTAATGGGCGTCCTGGACACTCGAGGAGTCCACGCCCGAGGGGCCTGGGACGACGATTTCATCGGACAACGCATAGTGTAGAGATAAGTGATGCCACAACAAAAACAACCACCGGCAACTGAAATGAATACAAGATACCAAGAGCATTCAGAATCGCTCCTCTGTTCTATGATGGCGCCCACGTCTCCCTTGAGCTCAGCGATAATCGATCAACTTGGCGTGGCGAGATTGCTTCTGCGCGCCGGGTATTCTATTATTCTTCATCTCTGCGCCCCGTTCCAACTTCGTAGGACAGTGGGTTGTGGAGACCTACGGCCACCTACGTCGAAGGTCTCCTGTGCTCGCACTTCATGTCGTAGGAGTTCGTCGCTCGTGTGCCTAGGCCACAATGATGAGAGTGTGAAAGGGTGTTTCAATGAATGCAGTCTGCTCGCTGGTCAAATTGTGTTAAACTGAGTTGATCATCGTAACATTCATGGGGTGTGAAGTTGTTGCGACTGCAAACGAGATTACTACTGTGTAGTGATGGAATTCACGCGGTCTTTAAAATAGCGGCAACCTCGAATTCACAATCGTCTTGACGATATCGTCCCAAGTGTGCCCTCATCCTTCCTAATGATGATACTGCCGCTATCATACATCACTCTCGCAACGTGCCTCATAGTATGCGTAATTGGTCCCTGGGCAGTAGACAACTCCAAGACCACGACGCTTTATACCGTGGACGCCAACACTGGATCCATCATTGCCACGCGCCCTGCATACCCCTATTCCATAGCAGCCTTCATGTTGGCTGACCACCTCATCGGCTCAGTCTTAGCCTTCACAGTCGAGTACTTCCGCAATAAAGAGGGTCGCCGCAGTGATCGGCTGGGTATGACCTGGAGGGACTTGAAGCTGATGACTCCTTTAGCGGTCCTCTACTCGGTTAGTGATCTCTCTACAATGCAGGCTATCGACTACGGCAATAGTCCTACTATGACAGTAGTCGCTCAAACTCGACTACTCTTGGTAGCTGTCCTCTCCTACTACTGTCTTGGTCATACTATGAGCGATCTGCATTCTCTGATGGGTGTTGTTATTTGTGCACTAGCGTTCACACTGACAGAGGAGCATGTTATCGCCCCTAGTGCTATCCCCTGGAGCGTATCCAAGGCCTTGCTGTCGTCCGTGTGTTCGGTATACCTAGAATGGCTCATGAAAGGGGACAGTAGAGGCTTCCTAGCTACAGCGGCTCGCTTTAAACTCATTAGTTTCGTCCTTACCCTCTCTGGTTTACTCCTCATACATGGTCCCCATAACGTACTCGGCTTTAAACCAATATGCGGGTCGTTGCAAATACCGGTTGCCTGTGACCATGGTCGTACTTGCGAATGTCTATATGATGTTGGTATGAACCTCCAGTCTTGGATAGCCTTCATCGTTATAGTGCTAAATGGTTGGATCACGGCTTACGTCCTCAAGAGCGTCTCAGCTACTGCCAAGTATGTTTGTAGTGCTCTTGCGGCTCCCATACTCTACGTTTTGTCGTGGTTGGCTGGTCGGAGAGAATTCCAACCGGTGCCGTTCCTTTTAGTATGCTTGTTGGTCCTGCAGGTCTCGGTTTACTCTCGTAATAAGACTAAGCGCGGCCGTAGTGAGCTCACCAAGGTGGTATCAACAGGCGATTTTGGCGAGTGGCTTCAGGGCTATCGAGTAGTTGACGTACCACCGAGCCAGATCTACACGAGAGGGGAGAGCGTATGATACTTTTGTGTGCGGGGTTGCCTGCTGCTGCTATTTGCATTCTTTTTGTCATGAATTTGATATGTATCGGATTACTACCTGTACCATTCCGCGATTAATGTTCAAGTACAGTTCGTTCGGGTGGTTGCGTTATCTCTCTAATGTATTCTGTTTTGGTGTAGTGGAAGTGTTGGTGGATGTTGATCGTAAGGTAGAGGGTTCTACTCCCGGTACCTACCGTAAGGTCCATTAACACTGGCATAGTGAGCGTTCAGTTCGTACTAGTTCGATGGCCAGCATTAATTGTTGAGGAAGTTTTGATGTCATTTAATTTCTACCAATTCCCAGATGTCGAACAAGAAGTTATCGACTATGTCCTCGCGGATGAGTCAAGTCGTGCATATGTAGTACCACTCCTCATTGAAATAGAGCACGAATGCAACCCGGCTATATTAAAGCCATCTTTGGTGTGCAAAGTGAAGCCCGTGAAGAGCACTTATGAGGATCTCCTACGAGAATACGACGTCCGAGAAGAACACCTGATTCTGGCTGGGAACACGTTCGTAGAGTTGGAGCATGTCCATATCACTGACACTTCTACTGCAGTGTTGACCTTGCCATCTGGGGAGTCCGTAGATCTCCTTACGTCACCTGGCTGTGAGATCAGGCTCCGGCCACCTACATACGGATACTATAGTGTAACGGTTAAGCACGGCGATACTGACGATGCGGTTGTCTATGGCTTTGTGGCGACTACGCACGTTTCGCGGTTTGGTAGTGCCTTGGACCAGTACCAAGATGCCTCTACGTTCGCGTGGAGGAGTCGTAGGTCGGCTAACGGCAGTTTTGACCCTGACTGTTACGGCGACTGGAATGAAGAGCTTACTGCCGCAGTAGTGGGCGTACTGGAGATCATTGATGATGAACAGTGGCAGGTAGGAAACAACAAGGGGCCAGTGGTGATGATGCGGTCCTTAGTCAGAGCAGTCCGTGATCGTTCGAATGACCAGTGCCCAGATTGTACCAATGTGCAGAGATCTCCTTGATCGGGTGTTAGAGTACCAGGATGGGACCGCGATGGGACAGCTAGTTGGTATTAGGCAGAAGTGTGGTATGCTGGTGGTGGTATTTGTGTCTTTAAAGGTTCACTTCGAGACATGCTTGCCTCGGCTCAGCTCACTGGATGGTCAGCAGGCTGGGGTAAACTCTATGATGCCGTGGTGGCATTCGAGCGAGCCCGATTCATGTCACTCACGCGCGTCGCGAAGGAGAGGCTCTTGAAGTTGTTACAGCAGTTGCTGGACGCCGCTGATCTGTATTATAACGATAGTAGCATAACTGATAGTTACTCTCAAAAATGGTGGAGCGGAGCTCGAGACCAACTTGCTATGGAGCTCAACAGTGGCATCATCGACAACCCCCTAGTCGTTTCAGGGATGGCCTTCAGCGGTGGGACTCTGGGCGATTGGATGAGTTCGTTGATGATGGTGAGTCAGTGTGGTGACACCGACAAGAGTCCCCATCGTATATGGCCACCGTCCTTCATGATCAACCCGTTGGACCCTAGCTTTGATACAGTACTGCTCAACGGCTCCGAAGCTGCGACTGGCGGGGGATTTGCTATTTCTAAGAACTCTATGATGCCCTTTCTATCGGGGATGGAGTCGATCGAGACCTTGAGTGAGGTGCTCGGTGCCCTACTATACGCTGGTATTGGATATGCGGGACAGACTCAGATGTACTCAGGAGACCAACAGACGAGCTCTGATGAAAGTAAGGAGACCTGGGCGGCAAGGGTAGGACCTCTGATCATCAGGTCAGATGAGGAACCTCCCAGTGTTGGGCCGAGATGTCCTTTGTGGAGTGTGTGAGAGAGCTCGAGCAGTCTGTAGTCTGGAGTTTCCTCCCTCCCTCACGAAGCGACGTGTGAACAGGCTCAAAGATGTCTGTAGACTGTTGAGGCAACTCCAGAGAGGTGGGGCGAACAGAGGGTCTCGACTTGTCTTGAAATCGCTTGGCAGGTCCTAATGGCCATCGACAAGTGTCTCTAGCTGTAAGTACTGATCCCGATAGATGCATCAACGATCTCAAGAATCGGAAGGGGGACGAGTGCTGGCTCTCTGCACCATTGGAGAGTCTCTGGCGAAACTGGATCGCGGCTGGTCGAATGTTTGTATTTGAAATTTGGTTACACGACACGAGTGATCCCTCCAAGAGAACGCTTCTGGCCTGTGATTTCGCTCACCCAGTGGGAGCTTCCGTTTATGTGGCTACCCGCTATTATGATGATGATTATAGAAAGTATCAGCCAGGGTTCATCTTGGGCTTTGCTACCTGCACCTGGCTCAAGTACGTGCTCGAGGATCAATGCCCCCCATTGCAAGATCCGTCTCAGGTCTATGGGGTACTCACTTTGGGACCTCGGTGGTTACAACGCTTCTCCGATGATGGCCTACAAGAGTGCCCTCTGTACACTAGTAGATGGTCGAGCTAGGTAGGTTCAATTTGAACGACTTCAGAGGAGTGTTTGATTCTATCAGATGGCCGCAATTGATCCGCAGAGTGCGAGATCGTGCACCGAGCGGTGGGAGAGTGTCACCAGGTAGCAGTAGAGTTTCCCATGAAATCGCTTAGTCGGCGTGTCGTGCTCAGGAACAGTGCTCGTGGAAGATCTCAGCGAGGATGATATCTGGGGACTGTATGGCGGCAAGCCAGGGTCTACTGACAAAGGCAGCCGCAGCACATTGGGTGCACTTAGTGGCCATAAGCACCCTTGATCGATTCAATTTCTACCATTCAGTTTGTGTACTTGTGCCAATAATGTTCAGTAATTTCATGTACTATGTTGCGTATGAGACCACCCAGTTGAACGAGCTGCGTGTTGGTACAGTTGAGCGAAATCGTAGTTGATGCAGACTACGAAGTGGATTCACGTATCACTGTATTGATGATGTAGGGCTTTTTGGTCGAGTGGTGGAGCAGGATTGCTGGCAATCTTTTGCGTCGAGGTCGCGGGATCGATTCTTGGTCACTACATTTTTCCCGCATTTTTTCCCACGTCATCCAAGAGCTCATCATCATCACCAGCTCCGGTCTTCATAACGTCTACTATCACAGATCTCAGGTGTTGTTAGTGTTTCAGCCACTTGAACGTATAGTGAGGAATGCCACAAACTCGTCTCCTGTCGTGTTATATTCATTTCTCTTCTTACGACTGTTGCTATTCTCCTTTTACTCTTATCGCCATTCGAGAGGCTCGTTGAATCCTCTTGTATGCTTCCACCAGGATCGTATCGTAACTATGTGTTGTTGCAAATCGTCACCGACTCAGCTCTATCTTCCATAGCAATGTCTCGCGGCCCTGCACTAGGCTCGGGGTCGTCTGCTGCAGCAACGATCATCGGAGGAGCAACAGGAGATCAGACTAAGGGCTTGACCTTCAGAGAGGACATTAATCCCAACGGTGCTGGCAACATTTCCACTGTTATGATACCAACGTCCTTGGCCAAGATCGACAAGCATCTCCCAGTGGTACGGCATTGCTACTTTGAATGAGGCCTATTGTGGCTGCAGGTACGCAGAAAAGATATTATGGAGGCTTATGCGGGCCTTTCAAACAGCGCTCGACAGGCTCTCCTCACCATCGTTGATAAAGAGTTTGTCGAACAACTTGACAGATGCCAGAAAGTAGGGCTCTCCCGGATCGCCGACTTAGTGGATGCGTGTGAACTTAGGTGGCATGGCGCGTTCATTTGTCGCCCGATCGTCGAGGAGCTGAGCGGAAGTACCCTAGGTTGACGAAGCTCTTCGAGCCCACCAATCACAATGTACTCCCTGGTTTTGGCACGCCATCTCAGTCGACGCGATCAGGGCAATTCAAAGATGGTACCACTCCGAAGTGTTATTATTACTGTTATCATTACCCTCAGGTTACATGTTGTTGGAGGACGACTTAGTGAGCAGCATCAACGGCGAGAAGGATGCTCTTCAACCCTGCATGAAGGCTCTCATGGACCACACTCTCTTTGACGTAGGGCTCTTAGTCGGTGAGCATGCTCCCAAGTCTTGTCCAGTTCATAGACGAGCGCTGTGAAGACTTCTTACGCAACGCGAAGCGAAATAGGAGCCGATTGGTGACCAGGAAGGAGGTAGTGTAAGCGAATAGCATGTCGTATAGTAATGCTACTACGATTTATGATGACCGGAAAACTCATGTCTATTCGAGGTCGCTCAGAAGTCGGTTTTTGTTCAGTTGTGGTATCGACTCTTTGATGGTCTTGATTCGGGCTCAGTGCGGTATGCTGATCTGGACGCCAGTTTAGCCCAGGCATTAGAATTCGTAAGAAATGCTTCTCCATCACGGTTTCTTTTATTGCTGCTATTTCAGAGGATCCTGTCGGAATACCACAAGGATCGTTTCGCTTCACTTCAACGTCGTCATCAAGAGAGCGCTCAGCAGCAGCAGCAGGAGTCGTCCCCCTTCCTGGGTGGTCCGCAGTCGTCTCGGTTCCTAAATTCTATACCCTTTGAATCTGTGGCCAGTCGCTCGTTCGTGGACCTCGAGGCTGGCGAACAGGGCGAGGCTGTGAAGGAAGCTGCACAACCGTCAAAGGCCGCTAAGAAGAGGAAGAAGCGGCAGGCTAAGAAGGCGGCGACAGCGAAGTCCGAGGGAGTGGTTACTAAGGCGAAAGGTTCGAACTCGAACGGCGAAGCGAAGCAGTTGAACAAGACTGGTGCAGTAGTGAATAGTAGTACGGTGTCGACTATTGTGTCCCCTGGAGGGTCCTCCTCCTCAATTTCTCGATCGAGATCGCCATCGGAAGCATCATCATCATCGTCGTCCTCTACGGACTCCTTGATAACACCAGTACAGGAGAGTACGTTGGTACGTGCGAAGACGGCTATTGAGTCTCTGGCCATGAAAGCCCCTATAGTGGTGGTGCCTTCGGGAGTTGACGATGATGAGGAGGATGATGATGATGGGGAATGGCAGACTGTTGGGAAGAGCAAATCCAATAACCGGTCATCCCTTCTCAGTGCCGAGCAGAAAAAACAGCAGTCAAGTAAGGGCCCTTCGACTCGAGGGAAGGCAGCAGCTGTGGGGCCACGCACAGCGAAGGATACGTCAAATGGTAGTGCACCGAAGACGACATCCAAGGTGAGGTCCGTAGAGCCAGCACGAAGGACAAATGGCGAGATAGAGGCTGCGTTGAAGCGAGAGACCTCTGTTAAAGTGAAACGAACGTTTTATGAGTTCTATGTGCCTGATTCCACCGACTTGTTCAGCGTAGCTCGCCAACAGCTTGGACTGCGCTCTAGTGAGGCCCCCTTCTGAGAAGTGCCCCTTCTGTTACTCTTCCTATCGTCGCTGTCTTCGTCTTATCATTCGTTACTTTTCCGCATGTGACCCCAACTACAGTCGTAATATTGATCATCATACTGAGTTCGATTCAGTGCCATTCCCCCCTCTCTTTGTAGTGTCTCTAGTCTTTGGCAAAAATAACTACTAGATGCTACTATCAATAGTAAACAATAGTAATAGGTTAGAACGATGATACTTTTCCCCATGTAGTAACGTTGAGTTTTTAGTGAACAACTGTACCCTTCAGGGGTATATATTTCCACAACCTTAACTCGACACAGAATCTTGGAAAAGAATCATGGTTGAGCGGACTAGGACGTCCGAGTGGTGACGGTTCCAATGGAGGGTTGGATGCTGAGTTCGAGTAGCATGTTAGGTTTGAGGGGGCCGGGGCCTAGAGGCAACACCGGCGTGCCAGTGAGGATGATGTCCCCAGGTAAGAGGGTGAAGGACTTGGTCAGCTGTGAGAGGAGATGCCCTATGGGGACGAGCATGTCAGTGGTACTCTGCTGTTGAACCTGTCAAGGCTTTTCTATGCATCCACAATGAAGGAGGGTACCAGCTGGTCGTCGATGGTAGTGGATATCTCCCAATGGGAATCTTCTGACAATCCGTCAACTTCGACCCAGTCGGAGACAGGACAACTCCGGTCAAAGGCCTTGGCTGTCTCCCAGGACCCTGTGGGACACTTCGAGAGGACACGTATGGTATTTTCCTACCGCCCGCCGTTTTGCAAGAGTTCTGCACATCCTTCAAAGTGAGGTCCAAGGCGATGGCGATGCCCCCGACTGATGGCAGGCAGTCCTGTGGTGGACATCCCGGAGGACTTCGGAGGAGCTGACGGCATGAGGCTACTGCTACTGGGTGGGGGGGGGGCTGACCTGTTTGGTGATGAGGAGAGCCAACTCTGTCTCATAGTAGACGTCAGTTCGTTGCTGAAGGTGTATAGGTTGTGTGATGGGTACCAAAGAGGTGAATGATTTACTAAAGATGATCGCCTAAGGGGACGAGTGACGCAAGTGGACCTCATCCGTATCTTACCTTATCCATAGACGCAGGAAGATTCGTCCTGTGGGAGTTCAACTCTTCTTTGGAGGCAGCAAAGTTCTTCGCTACACATAGGACCTAAATCTCAGTTCGCTTGGTAGAGAGAGAAGTGGCCACCTTAGAAGGTATAGGGAGTCCAAAGGGCCGCCGACCAGAGGCCCATCGTGGTGTGTACCCATGGGGCGAGGCCTGGGCCATACTAAGGGCTCGCCGCGAGAGGACGGTGGCCTACCGCAAGGCGTTCATCACTATATTAAAAAATGATGTCACTCAGTTACTAGTGCATACAGTTTGTGTTTATCGTCGAGCCTACTAATTATGCTATGCCACTTCGAGTGAGACCCCACTCTCAATGTTATACCGCCGTCAATGGGGTACAGGGATTGTACCAACTGGTGCGTGCGTGTAATACGTACAATACTGTAACATATTGCTATGTCTTATCGATCGATACCGTGTGATGCTGTACGAACACGACTATGCAGAACAACGTGTACTCAAAAACTGCTAACTGTGGTGGAGCACTCTATCAGAGCAGAGGGTTTGCGAGATGCTATACGCATTGTCATCTCTGCAGCCGTCACCGCCTTCGCTGCAGTGATCGGTGGACTTGCGTGCTAATTTTCTTTATCATTGGACTTCACAGTCAACTAGGAGGTAACACGGCCAAGTAGAGGGTGTAGCAATACACGATAACCCGACAAGAAAGAGCACGCATGCATAGGGGCCATCTTACACTGTGGGAGATCCTCCATGTAGGGACATTGCTAGACAGTAGTAGTGGATGGGATACCATAGTGACGGATGCAGGGATCGAACCTGGGTGGATCGATTATTAACAACTAACACAATGCAATGGTCATAGAAGTAACGTAGTTCTAAGCTATTGGCCCCTGTGTATTGCGAAGGTGCTGTTGTATAGCAGCCAACGGGTTCTGTTGAAATGGTTCGAAAGAGAGCACCTGTCACCATGCTGTCTCCACTGACCATCATAATCAGCTACTTACACTCTTGTATTGCAGGACCTCTCTAAGATTCTGTTTGTGCTGAGCCGCTCTCGTCTTGGGTTTAGCAGCCAACTTGTGTATTTTCTTTGGCCGCGATTTCTTCGACCCCTCCTCTTGTAAGTCTAGTTTCAATGACCCCCTCAACGACTGTAAATTCGCAAGGACGTTTTCTGATAATAAATACACTACAAAAAATCACCGTTGAAAAGCTTTACTCTTATCCTTCAACTTCGCCTCTTTCATATGCTTGGCTCGGACCTGCTCAGCTGCGAACTGTTGCTTTCGTACTAATAACAGTCACATAGCAAACGCGACGCCACCCTCCTCCCTACTGAGTGCCTCCTTCCGAACTCTGCGCTTGCGCTGACCCCGCGACCACTGCAATGGGTCTTCCTCCTTGGGCGCCTCATCAGCCCCTTTAGTCGGTACTCTGCGGCGCTTCACCATAACAGAACGACAATCTATGAATGACCACTCCCTTAGCCGACTCAGAAACGCAAAACCCCCTAGAGGACACTAGCAAAGGGCTGTTAAAAACGGTTAGTGCTGATAAATTGGTCATAGTGATAGTAGCATGGTAAGAACGGTCACAGCTTAGAGACGACTCCTGCAAATCCACGGAAGATGTCCTCATCAGCATTACTCTGAAGGGAGAGGAAATACGATGTTCGAAAGGAGTGGTATGATAGCGATAATACCTCCGTAACTTCCCCCCTAAGGGACACCTCAAACGCTCGCCGTATTTGCTGTAATGGTAACCCTCTTCCCAGGAGGTAGCTCAATTTGGTTACAGCCGCCTCGACGGTCATATCCCCCGCACTGATCACTCCAACCGAGATCAACTGAGCGCCCACAGCATAGGCATTCAATTCTACTCGGCCCTTTAAACACTGCGACACAGCTACCACGGCTGTGCCTCTCTCGTTGAACCTGAGGGCCTCAATCTGAGATGCCTAGAGTCTCTGTAAGAAGGCGCCTATAGCGGCAGTTATAAATCTCGACTACTCCAGCGTGCTTTACCACCCATTAAAATTCGTGTTGATCCGAAGACTTCATATTCCACTGAGCCTATTATAGCTATCTAGGACCATTTCGAATCACACCTTGTATCGAAGATCGATCCCAACGTGGTTGTCGATTTCCCCCATCTCCCCTACCCCTACTACTATTACCTCCTAAGCCAGTCGATGAACTCCTGTTGCTTGGCCGGAGCGTTGCCCGTACCATAAAGAGATAGTACCACACCTTTCACAGCACTAGCCTTCAGTGACTCTAGATCGGCGAAGCCAGGCACCTACTAGTAGTAGGCCGTCCAAGCCTTTACTAGTGAACTCTCTAGTACCATCCTGATGACCAGTATTGAGTTTTCCATACAAGTGTGAACATGAAAACGGCCCTTGGGAGCGGGCAGAAGCAGGTGATAATTAAAGTGAATGCCGACTCCTAAAGTTGCCAATGGCGGGAAGTTCGGCGACTCAAATGCTTCTATCGAACCACTATCGACCTAACAAAGATACCATCACATACAAAAATCTTCCGAGTGCGTTTACCTTCACGGAACGACACCCTCTGAGCAGGTAAGTGTTAAAGAAGACGCATACCTCAGGGATATTACAGAGACCTGTCCACAGGAAGGGTCGGCGCCGAGGGCGCTCCAAACTCCCCTACTACCAGCAATGAGAGTGGACACTATGATGTTCCTTCTAGCATCACTATGTGGTTCTCCAAAGGGCAGGATAGAACCGGTGAGGACCACAGTCTTGGCAAGGTTGGCCAACATGAAGGATAGCGCTCCTGCTGTATAGGCCATGGTGTCTGTGCCATGCACGATGACGAAGCCATCATAGTCATAATAGTTGTTCTCTATGCTCTGAGGGAGGTAGTAGTGTGCATGATGTGAAAGAAATGTGGTACTACCTCTGCCATCTTAGCCCAATGCTCCGGCGTTATGTCCGAGCTATCCAGGAGCTCCTCCCACTCCACGACCTAAACCACGCTACACTACTACTCTCATATCGTGATGCGCCGAACCGTGCAGTCGGGCATGCCTGGCCGCTTCAGCTCCTCGAGATGGGAAATCTTCTCCGTGAGGAATCCCGGAACTGGGCGGAGCGACCCATCGCTGCCCGGTTGCATGCCCACAGTGCCCCCCGTGTATATCATCAAGACCTACACCAGAGCACCTCTAATAGGACAATCACATTTGCCATCTTATCAGATACCTTATGGAATTTTACATGTTTTGCAATCACTAAACTCATACCACATTTCTTCCGAATCGATAGTACTACCTTGCTGCTTTCTCGTGGGTGCTCACCGACTCCCACAGCCGGGTGTGACACGATCAGTGACGGTAATATGCCATCCGCCGGGATTTGTCTATTTTTAGCACCATCCTGGGAGTCTGCCATTTAAACGACTACTACGATAGAGTCTGAAACCGTGTCAAGAACCCAACAGGAGCTGCGTGGACGAATAACAGATACAGAAGGAAGGACAAAGAGAAAGAGGTATGGTAGATATTATTACATATGACGGAGCGAAATAAAGAACGGCCAATCTACAAGGGAATACGTAAACATTCATGACGCCAGCATAAGCCGCACAGGAGCGTAGCAAGGACTGGTACAATTAGCCAAACAGTGGCTAGCTACTACTACTCAACCGTTGCAAGAACATATCAAGGAAGGCATCTGAGCTGACAACGTCAACCAGAGCCTGTCGGAGCTTGCTCCTCGTAACACATATTCCCTCCAAAGGGCCGGCTGTCGATTCACTACAGTCATCGTCATCTTCTTCATCACAACAAGGGCTGGCTTTAGAGAGCTCGGCCTCTAGCATTTGGAAGGTATCCATTGTAACTCCCTGACGCCCCTCAGGGCCTTCCTCCTCTGCAGCCGAGCGACTAGAGTGTGAATTATTGCTACGCGTCGGAGACTCCAATACCGCTTCCGTTGATGCTGGGGTAGTGTTCTTCCCACTACCCTTCAAAAGGCTCAGGATGTGCTGACCAGCGGCAATGTTGCTATTGCTGGTCAATGAGGCACAGGAGTTAGAGCCTTCCACACTGGGCACACTCGAGGACGGAGGCATCTGAGATGGATAGGGAAATCCTCATAGCAGTGTTGAAGGAATAAATGTTTGCTCTCCTCAGCTGAGCTCAGAAGTTTCCTCACTAATTATGGAAATTAACACCCGAGTTCAGGTAGGAGTTTTCAAGAAACAATAAGAAATTCTCAAAATTCACACAGACTCACCAACACATGTAGTTTGTCATGTACATATTTTCCCGTACTACCTCCTCTTGCTCGGATCCTTGAGCACTTCCTTCGCCGTTGCTAGTATCATTCTGGTAGGGCGTAGTAGAGGCCACTTTAGGGGCACGTTGGGCCAATATCATCTTGAGGAGGTCGGAAGGAGATGGAGGGCTGGGAAGGGGCCGGGCGGAGAGTATCGATCCGACGTAGGAGCACACCTGTGATGACGCGCAGTTCGGCAGAGGGGCCTGGACACGCCTTACCCGGTCGGCGACTTCAGCACAGGTGAACCAAATAGCGAAAACTTCACTGTTGGCAGTCCTGAGGAAATGAAGTACATTTCCCTATGTTGAGGATCCCCCCGAGAATGGGCATGAATCGGACCTAAACCGTATCTTTCGACAGCCTACCTAAGATGCAAAGTATGTCCGTGCTGCTCAGCAACTACGTCTTGAGTGAGAGTGATAGTCCATACGTCCCCTTGAGCGTAGTCAGGGATACCAGATGGAGGCTGATCACTGTCCAGGAGCATCAATCGGAATTGACCATTGACAGTATTGACCAGATACAGGAGGCCTTCAATGTCGACCTTCTCCCAGGTGGGGGTAGGGTCGCCAGAGAGAGGGGAATGGTTGAGGTGGAATAGAACAGCGTGCCTACATACGGGAAAGGTACATTTTGCGGTCGTAAGATAAGCCCAGTACGGTGCATGTGTCAAGATGCTCTTAATGCTACTGTCTCGTTTTTGAAGGGCGAGTAATGCCAGCTTGCGCTCTATGGGGCTTTCTTCCGAGTCGAAGGCCATCACAATGATAATGGAGGAAGGACTTCAAAGTGGATCCAGAAATGCAGGGAAGGCTGCCGGGAGGTCCAGACGGCAGTAACAACAACAGCCGAATGAGGGTGCATTGTCGACCTAGGAATCACAAAGCGGGTGCACGTCTCAGAAAAATGCAGCGTGCCGGGATCGAACCTCGCAATGATGAGGAACTGCAAGATTCCAAGTGTCGAACCAATTTCTCCTGCTACCTCTCTGCGGCTACCCTGACATGCTCTGTTGACTAGTCGGCGGCACTCTGACCGAGTGTCGTCGACTGTATGGCGTTCTGATCAATTCACCGTTCTGCTGATAATAATGTGCATTTAGTTACGCCTAGTAGTACCACTCCTTGCGCACTTCGTAGACCGCCATAGCGTCTTCTCACATGTCCGATTACAGTAGATGTTCTACTCAGGGGCTGAGGTGTTCTCAACCCATCATACCTCCCGTCTTGAACACGTGCCTGCTGGCTTCAGGTTAGGTCCCCACCGCTCTTCCCTACCTCTCCCCCTCTCCCCCTTCAGGCCAACTCAGGATACTCTTCCACGAAGCCGAGGTTTGCCTCACTCGAGTAGCTGCTCTGCTACAACCCTTACTCAGTGAGATATGCACCATCGATGCAGCCACCACAGGGGGCGCTGTAAAGTAAGGTTCATACTGTGCGCTATGCTACTATAGCGGTATCAGGGTTGGCTTGTACGATCTACGACTGGTGCCAGAACTGGAGAAACATGTTTATAAGAGCTCCTCTGAGGCTGGACTCAACGTGAAGGCCGTGGAGGTTGTCGCGGACCCATCAGGTGAGCTAGTAGGCTAAAAATTTCCAATATAAACTCCAACGTTGCTGCACTCAGCCCACCTACGGGTGGTCGTCCCTCCAGAGTCTGTACTGAGGGAGTACAAGGCGGAGTCGGAACAGATCCTTCTAGCTCGACTTCGATCAGCTTCCCAATACGTACATCTTCCCAGTCATACCACACCTCGGCCTATTCGTGTCCTTAGTACGGCGACGTGCGTACAGTGTCGAAGTCTCTACCCAGTCACGTAGAAGAGGATGGCCCATTATCAGTCCATCAACAACCTTTACTACTGCGGCATCGATCTGAGGGTTCAGTTCTCTCTGCCGTCGCATCGTACTCACCACCCAGGTTGGGCCCGTCAACTCCCCCGTGCAAAATCAAAGTCAGATATACTGTCGAATTTTACGATATGCGTTCCGCAGCTCGAATGCGAAAAGCATTGAATCACCACAGCCCGATCACGCCAACCTCGACGTGTCTGCCAGACACCTACAGCTGGGCGCTCGCGCTGTAGTAGTAGCTGCGAGCATCTCAGGCCAGCTCAGCTGTGGCCTTAGATACTCCCGGTATGGTTTCAGAACTGTCGAGCCGGGAGATCTAGAAGGTGTTGGCAACTTCGGTCAGAGGTAAACCCTGGCGACCTCGTTTCGCCATTACGCGCTCTTCCGTTGATGGCAGGCGTCGTAGCCCCTCGTACGAGGACGGCCGGGGCCATCTTGAGATAGACCTCCATAAGGTAGATCCTCCTCATCACCTCTCTGTCTGGGTACCAGTAGAGGCAGGTGGAGCTAGGATTGGACAACCGTACAGCTGTCATGATACGCAATGTACCGCGAAACTATACCCAGCCGATGTTGTTCGCTGAACTAGTAGAGGTACTGGCCTTCCAATACTACCATCACTCTTCTGAGATGATGCTATCAGGCTATTCACATTGCGGGTTACGACGTTTATATGATCGATTACGTCTACATGCCGTATGACGTGCGTCAGAAGGAGTCCAGTACATACGTCTTCGTCAACGTGAAGGAAGCGGTGATGATCGAACCCCTCTACGGCATATTCGAAGGTCAACTACACATGAGGATACTCCCGACAAGCCATACTCAGGTAGATGGTGGTTGCGCAGCACTGCCAAGGAGCAGCGTCCAGCGAGGATATCGTACGATTCCTCCCATGGACGTCAGTGGACCCATTTTGTATCTTGAAAGATACGCGAGGTGTCACGGACTCTCAGCTATACTCAACAGCCTTTCTCGAGGGGCAGCCCAGCAGCTTCCGGCATGGTGATCTCACGTTGGCGTATACCACACTTTGCCCTCCTCGTAGCTACCGTCCCTTGGTCGCTGTGACTCTGCCACTATCATCACCACAACTCGAGGACACAGGCTCACTACCGCCTATGGCTGGCGATGATGGCGCAGCCCCGCCGAGCTGTCCAATTGTGGAGCGCTCGAGTTAATACCATTTCCGAGGTCACTGATAGTGTGTATGTTAGAGTCGGTACGAGAGCCTCCCCCGGCCCTGCAGTTGAAGCCGACCCCTGACTCGACAGAGATCGTTCCTCAATCACCGACGTGGGTGCCACTACTGCCTCCCATAGTGTCGGGGTGATGGTCAGGGCCTTCCTCCCGAAGAACAACGGGGTCTTCCCCACGCCTAAGGTGCTCCTCGAACCGGGAAGTGGGATCGGCTGGTTACTGCTACACCCCTGACCATTCGAGCGTCAGGTATCCTTGTGGCTCCCTCAAGTGATGAAGATGTGGTATCACACGATGGTACGGACAGGTAGAGTGGATGACCTAGGCTGCCCACCACAGTAGGTCTTAGGAGTAGCAGTCAGGAGGAGGAGGCCTGCCGAGCTGATGGACAGGCGAGCACACACGCTGAGGAGCAGTGCCTGTCGACGGCTATGATGATGGTTGACCATTGCCTGGGGGTGGAGTGACCATTATTCGGGTTGGGCCCTTACAGTGTCTCTATCGTGCCAGTCGCCCTTTAGGTAGAAACGCATTCTTCTATAGCTGCCGGGTTAGGTGACAATTCCTCATACTAGAGTTGCATTTTTCCTTTCTTCTCACTATAGCTGTTATTAACATTATTTCCGAAACTATGCTTTGAAGAAATGTCTTCCTCCCGAGGGTAACTCACGTAGATGAGGACCCTCCCCTGGTGGACATTATTTCGCGTGTGCTCTTCATTTGCGGCAGTAGCATCAGTTTTAGTCTGTTACGCATCGTTAGGTTTATTCCGACTGTTACAAGTACATTGTTTTTCCACTTATGAAATATTTATGGCTCCGCCTAGTACGCAGGGCTTACCATCCCTCACCGGCCTGCTAGCCGGACACCTTTTTCCGACATATACACGGCTCCCGTCGCTGTTGCCGATGGGTTCACCATGTTCATGATCATCCGGACCGTCTCGACACTTTCCTCCTGTTGCGTTCTAATTTTCCATTTCTAAGGGGCGCTGGAAAAATTGGAAAATTTATCATTTTACGCTAGTAATAAAGTAGTGTTTAATGCTGAAATTCCAACAAGGTTTTGATATAGTGCTGAGTTATCATATATTAGGTCTGTATTAGCTGCTTTCAGCCTTCCTCATGTTATCCCCATACCATCCCTTCGTCACCTCCCTCCGTTTGCCGCGCTTCCCTCAACATTGTAGATGGTTTAATACTCAGTGGACGATACCCAAAGATTGTCCCGCGTGCTCCTCTACCAAGTCGAAGGACTACACGCCTTGTCTCGACTGCCCAAAGTGCCATTTTGTTGGGGCCTCCTTCTCCCCCTTTTGCCCCTCCTGCGACTCCCTGCAACCCCCCAAGCCCAACGCTTGCCCAGTGGACTACTTCGCTTTATTGGACCAACCGCATAAGTTCGATTTGGATACGACTGTGGCCGAGCAGAGCTACCGGAAGTGGCAGAAAAGACTCCATCCGGATAAGGTGGCGAGTGTAGAGGGAGCTGACACCGACACTGCGGCAGCCCATTCAGCCCTAGTGAACGACGCGATCAACGTGTTGAGGTCACCATTGAAGAGAGCCGTCCACTTACTGCAACTGCACGCCAGTATTGATGTTGATACCGAGGGGGAGGAGGGCAGGCCGGACCCGGAGGTGTTGGTGGAAATGTTTCAGTACAATGAGGAGGTTGATGATGCCGATGGGGATAGAGCCGAGCTGGAGAGGCTCAGTCGAGAGAACGATGAACGGTTGAAAGCATGTGAGGCACGTCTAGTGGAACTCTGCGATGAGGCCCATGACTGGGAATCCGTGAGGAAGGAAGTGATCCGCATGAAGTTCCTAGTGCGGTTACACGATCGGCTCCAAGGCTCTCCCATGTGAGTAGTTCGAGGAGCTAGCGTTTCCGTTCCTACTGCTCAGGCATGAGTAGCATTACTATACTTTTTCAAGCCCATCTCGTTGTCGTCGTTGAGTTGATACTGTCAGATTACCCCTCGCGGTCCTCCGGGTAGGTGCATAATGCTCAGTGGAGGCCCCTTCCCACCACAACAGGCTGGGCAACTCTTCCCCTTCTCCTTGGATACTCGCCGCTATAACTTCTATCTCTCATCGCCGAGTGTAGCCCAGCTCCTAGACAAGAGGTTTATCGACTTCCTTGACAGGTCACAGGGGGATGCCTCCCACCGCCCTCCCCCCTCACGACTGCTCAGCTACTTCCCCCTCCTTCCCACCAGCTGGGTCTGCCTCCATCACCAACAGGCTCACTGGTGACGACGAGGAGCCTCTCGGTATTGGGTCATGCCCCTGCTGATTAGATGGGCAGCGGCCCCCTACGGCCAACTACCAACCTGCTAGGGTTGCCGCCCGGTGCCTTCCCTCCTGCAATGGCTAGCTCAGCGGTACCGGGCATTCCTCCAGGAGCTGTTGGTGACATGCACGCTAAAGTGGGTCCTACGTCGCTCCGTCGAATTGTGTTGACAACCCCCAGGTTAACGCGCACCACATAGAAGTAGAAGCCACCATCGCTGAGGCTGAGGAGTTGCGGAGACAGCTCACACATCTCCTCGGCTTGGGGCCTCGTGACGGTAGTGATGCCTAGCCCGCACTCGTTGGTGTTGCAGACCTCCAGGTATCTCCCCGGTATCACCCAACAGAAACGATTATTCAAGTCCAACCAGTGGCGTCAGGATGTCGGAAACTCCCGCCTCTCCCCAGTTGGTCATCCCGTCTTTCAGGATGCCCCCTCCTTCTGGCTCACTCGAGGGTAGTCATCGGTCGATCCCTTCTACTACGCCCTCCTTACCCCCGCCAACTAGAGGGGCAGCAGAGGAGGACCCCCGACTAACACCGGAGAAGCAACGGGCCTCTGCTCACGACCAACGGGTGGGGTCTTGGATGTCGCCCTGATGGGCATCTCTTCGTATCCAGTGGGAAGCCTCACCCGAGCGACCGACCTCCTCAGCACGCCGGTCCCCAGCGCACCGAGGGCCCTTCTCATCATCAGCGAATACCGTGAAATGCCTTCGACTCGAGTGTCCATTGTGGCCTCGCTTGGATAGGTGCCAGCGGCCCTCCCTGCTAGACAATACGTGATGGAGCATCAGAAACAGGAAAGGAACATAGGGAAGGACACTCGTAAGGGGAGGAGTGGAAAGCTGTAGCGGTAGCGAGATCGTGCCCAGGCTCACAGTGGACGGATCCGACCTCGGAACCCGAATACGAGAGAGCCGACAGCTTTACCGCGGCGGCATTACAGTCGGAAAGGCAGTTTCTGTCGAAATCTGCCGCTTCGGTGGTGTCATCTACGAAAGCACCCGCAGGTACAGTGCGCGCTATGTAGAAACGCGCAAATAGGGGTGCAGGTTGAAGCTAGTTCCCTTTTCATTGAGTTCTCTATATTTGATTATGCATAGATCCAAGTCGCGCACTTGGAAAAAAAATTTTCGCACTTTCATCATAAAAGTGCAGAAAATATTTCTGTGGTGTAAATTTTCCACTATCAATTCAATATTGGTGGTATTTTAAGAATTCCATGTGAACATTTTTTTCACAGCCGATCGGGAGCATGAAAATTTCCGAGTGTAGCGCATCCTTCATAGTGCGCTGCCAGCATCCTGGGAACCTCCAGGAGCTGGTCTCAACGATGTTGACTCAATGACCGTCATTGCAGACCCACAATTTGAACATGACTATGAGCACATGCAGAGGGTGGACACAGCAATGACAGTACCCCACCTCAGTAGTGGGCCGAGAGGTGTTAACCCCTATCGGACCTCTTGATGATGCTCTAATGGGCAGACTCCTTGAAGACAGTGTCCAGTTTGAAGGCGTTGCGGCAACAGGAGGAGATCCTCGAGGCCCAGCATGCTGCTGCCTCCCATCTCCGCAGCAATTCGGATCCTCGATCGGCTGCCACCTTTGATGGAATCATCTATCGCGATGACTCCCCGGCGTCGGTGAGGAAGCTCGCGTTTGATGCTGTTTAGCTCTGGCCGTCTGGTAGATACTAGATGAGCTTGCTTCTCCGGACCATCTCAGTAGGGCCGACCCTACCAGCTCAGCATTCGCAACCGCTAGAGCTACGGAATTAAGCGAGGAGGCCGCCGCTATGTACGGCTCCGCACGCCCAGAAGAGGACCCTCACGTATCGGCTAGATGGCCGGCGGCCCCCACGACCGTGTCTGATCTAAATCTGAACAGTGAGCTCTTATTTGCCTCATACAAGATCGAGCCCCTCTGGGCTAGATATCCCAGAGGTCTATCATCGAGCCCTTCACGCTGTTGAAAAGCACGGTTACCGAACCCTCAAGTGGAGCGAGGGTTGGACTGCTCTGGTGAGCCCAGCGCGTGATAGAAAGCCTTACTGGTCATTAGCACTGGGCTGCCCAGAAGAACCATTATCGGATATGTCAGTACCTCCTGTACAAGGGGGCGGACCCGAATGCCCCCGACAATGTAGAATGCGTAGAAGGAGTGGTATCGATTACGACCCTCTCATCAGAGAGGAAGAACCCCAGTCGAAGTCGCTAGGAATGTTGGTAACAGGAAGATAGTACAATTATTCGATCGTCACAGAGAAGCCCACGCGTTAGATGAGAGCAATGGAGAAAGTGTTTATAGAGATGTTCCTGAGCAGTAAGGGACACCACGTCGAGCGAGCGGTTGCTTTTTAGCATTACAGATTCGCAGAGGCGTTGAGAGCAGTAGATGCCCATGGATGGCAGGCCTTGAGGTGGGCTGATGGTTGGACGGCACTGCACTGGGCGGCTCAGGAGGGCCGCGCCGACATAGTAGTGGTGGAGAGTCTTTGTGGTCCCCCCTTCTGATCCTACTAGGTATCATATCTTCTAACTCGCAGTGGTGACCCATTAGCAGCTGATGCAGTATAACCCTATATACGATGAGGTTTGACGGACTATGACCGACTGCTTCCCTTCAGACTGGCAAGACACCACTGGACGTTGCGCGTGAGAGCGGCCACTCTTCGGTTTTGGAAGTGCTCGAGCATGCCAGTGGGCAGCCATGATGAACACGTCCTTGTCACATTAGTTGAAATACCATCACTGCCGCATGAGATGAAATTGTGTTTACATTTTCTGCCTCAGTCAAATCTTGGTTGTATTTCATAGTGTCATACAGTTGAAAAGACTGGCAATCATTGGACCCCAGTGTATACTAATAACAGGATTACCGTCACAGTATTACACTAGCAGTATGTAAAGGAATAGTTGACTATACAGACTACTGAGGAGTGAACTAAATCTCGCTAGTACACTGTGCTTCTAAACGTTGTCTAGGTAGAATTACATGCCTAGATGCACCACGTTGGGTTTATGAAAAGGGAAATCTTCGCTGTGCGTAGGAGATGTGGAAAATACATCCTTCCAACTTATATTCCTCCTTCCAACATCCGAACTTATATTTCAGGAACGGCTGTGATTGACATAACGGGTTATCGATACAGATGTATCCCTGCTGAACTTCAGCAGCTGAAGCCGTTGGAGCGTGAAGTTATACGACTACTAAATTGTATCAAGTGGTCATTATCTTATTTTGGACCAACCCTGATGGGCAATTCCGAGCGTGCAGTCTAGCGGGGTTGATTCCATTGATTATCCTACTTCGACACTGCAGCGAACTCTGAACTCGACTACTAATAATGGAATTGACAAAAGTTTCTTCCTGAAATTATAGGATCGAAGGCCGTATCACTGTTCTTTGAGCACAGTATCTAATCAGGGGCGTCCCGAGGGTAGAGGATGATTTCAGATTGGAGCCGATGTATTCGGACGCTGCTGCTCGAAATGAATAGTCGCAGGCCACTAACAACTCAACACTATCAAATTAAGAGAATAACCAATATGGACAAGTAGCGGGAAAAAACTATCAGGGTTGAACTAATCTCCTCAACTTTGATTGAGTCCAAGAAAAAGGCAATTATTGGCATGTAAAAGGACTTGATATGAGACACCGTGGAAACCGTGCTCTCTTTAACACATCTGCATTTGAGTGTAGGAGTGGCCAACTGATTTACGCTCTCTGTTCACGTACAAGATCGATGAATATCTGCTCGAGGCTCATAGGGAAGGTATTATAATATACAACTCCACAGGTTGTCTTCAAACCCCCCTCCATGATTCGGAACAGCTCCGCTATCTGCTGTGTCGGGGTCAAATCTTCACACAGAGGGACCCGGAGAGTCACCGAAGAATTGAAGTCTTCAACTACGACCACGCCGGTGATGCCAAGTGCCCGGCTGAGACTATCAGCAAGGAAAGATGCCGAGAAGCCCTCCGACAAAGATGCTTCTATCGATATCGCCCGGCTGAATCTGCACAGAGAGTAGCAATAGAGCACACTAACTCGTTTTGGGCGAATACTGATACCTGTTGGTCAGCTCATTGACGTTTCCAATGACACGCATTTCTCCGTTGATCATGATGCCTACACGTGTTGATAAGGCTGATGCCTCATCCATATAATGAGTTGACATGAGAATAGCTGGACGGCTACCCTCTCCTCTGAAACAACGATGAATCATCGATACGGACAGCGAAAGACGTTAAGTGGCTTCTCATTCTCGACGCTCACGATGATTAACGTGGAAGTGTCTTACCTTAGAACCGCCCAAACGGAACGCCTAGCCGCCGGGTCCATTCCAGTGGTGACCTCGTCCAGGAACATAACACGTGGACAACCCAGCATAGAGAGAGCAAGGGAAAGCTTCCGTCGATTCCCTCCCGAGAGTTTAGCGGATCGAGTCTTAAAGTGCTGGCCTGACCAAGAAGGGTACGCCGTAGTATGCAGTGACCAGGTACTCACCAACCCCGAGACCAGCAACTATAGAATCCATATGTTGCTGATGGAAAGAAGCGGAAGAGTTCAACCTCAGACCCTTGAGAGTAGAAGCCAGCTTGAGATGTTCTTCGACCTACTATGAGAGATGCCAATAGTTGGCATCCCCCGAGACCACTACTCACCGTGAGCTCTGGAAAGAGTGCATCTACCTGCGGGCAATACCCACACACTTGTCTCCTGTAAAGGGAGCCAAAGTCCAACCTCCCAGACTGCGCCACCTTGAAGTCTTCGGGTCTTCCCAGTTTTATCAGACCTAAGAAGAGATCAATAAAATGCATCCCAGACGAAAGTTCATACCCGCAGTCGGGATTTCATCTCCAGTGAGCATCTTCATCGTAGTCGTCTTGCCCGCGCCATTAGGTCCCAACAGCACGACTATCTCTGCTGGTGCCACGCCAATGTCGAGAGACTCTACCGCTGCCTTCTTCTGCTTGGGGTAAATCTTCGTTAAATTCCGTACCTTACCACACCTAGCATCCAGAGACCCATCTCGCCTTGAGAGATAACGTCTCCAGGGCTTGATAACAATGGGGAAAATGTTCGAATAATGTGTTCCTAGCCATCCGTGGAAAATTCAAAATGAGTTCCCCCGGGAATATTGTAGCTCCCTGGATGATTCCCTGCTAGCATCCTCAACCACAAACCAGAGCCTCACCGAAATGCCCTCGACGATAGTATCAGCTCGAAGGGCTTCCTCTCGGAGGTCCTCCGCTTCGAACGCCCGATCAGCCTTTTCCGGCGGCGTCAACTTGGTATATTTTTTCATGCGTGCAGACATCTTATCTCGAGTTTGATACCAAACCACTGCAGTAGCTGTGACGGAGCTCAGTCGTAAAAAGGAAAATCAAGAGATTCTTACTGATGATGATGACGCCTATGTTGACCAGGATGGGCGTCAACACGCCATTCTCCGGCTTGAACGTGTCGGACCACCCTACCGGACTGCCCTCCTCACCCGATGCCCGATCAACGATAAACTAAGGAAAGGAATCAATAGGCAATCAGGGCGTGAGTTGCTCCACGAGATTCGCGAGGAACTATGATGAACAGCAAAATTCGTGATCAGTATATACGCGTGTTGGTGACCTCGAGGAATTCCTGTTTTTTCTACCCTGCAAGTCGTGTGCAAATTTTTGAAATTTAGTGAGGAAACTTCTGAGCTCGGGCATATATTCCAACACTGCGTATGAGGGAGATCTCAACGGACCTGCAAGCTGAGTAGCTGCTGCGTGCCTCGTTGGTAAGAGAGTGTCGGAATGATCGTCAGGACATCACCGAAGATAGCCCCAGCATTGCGAACACCTTTAATAAAAAATACGACAAGACATACCACTCTTCCGCCACTTCCTACTCTCGCTAGAGTTGGTGCTCATAATCCACACTATGATGTACGGGATGATGGAAAGGCAGTTCCACATGAGGGGGAAGGAGTCAGCGACTTGCCTCCCGGACTTGAACAGAGGCGCCAACATCATAGCTGCCGGTATCAGTGCTAGGAAGGTGGTAACGACCAGAAGCAGATAAGCCAACCAACGTCCGCCGTTACCGAGTAACTACAATAGGAGCAAATCGACGGGATGAAGGCAGTGAACGACCTCACATCGGAGCCGACACCTCCAGCAGCAATGAGCAGTACTGCTAAGGAAGGTAAGAAGCCGAAGACGAAACGATGGGTGAATAAGGCAAAGTACTGCTGGCGTACTGACATACCTACAGGGGACTCTGTGGGGTGATGGGCCCAGGGAGGCAAGGACTCACCCATGAACTTGAGCTGTGTCGTGATATGGTCGACCCTCCAGAAAACGATAGTGATAACTACATACGCGAAAGGCACGAAGCCAAGCATGGTGAGCATCGGGACCAGCAACTGGGTTATGTCCACCAAGTAGTTTTTCATGTATGGCAGCGGGGAGTTCGCCACTGCTACCTGACAGACAGAGGTAGCTTGCCCCAGTCCAAGGGGGGCGACCTACTGAGAAGTTTCGGGAACCAGCGATGATAGACAGAGTAGAATTGGTGAATGCTGAGAGCGCCATGGGGAGGCTTGACACAATGCTCGAGTCGTATTGCAGTGTGCCGTTACTTTCATAACGAGCCAGGAGTGTACTGAGATGGAAGGAGGCATGAACGAGGTTAGAAAGGAATCAGATGGAGTTACCCGCCTGCTGGTAGGTTGTCAGTCCATCTCAAGAATGGTCCCAATGAGCTGCTATTGAAGGCACTCCCTTGTACGTAAACAGGGGTATTTGAGCCGAGAGTGGTATGTGATGGCATCAGAGGTAGGAGCGGCGAGGTGACCAGTGATGCCTTAGCCTCTAGGAAGTGGGATAATAGGAAGCCAACTATGATGAAGATGATGGGCAGGATGGTGTTGAAGACGAATACTTGTCGCACTCGGAAATCCATTATTGCTACCATTCTGGCCAAGTAGAAGACGGATCCTGAGGTACTCCTACATAAGATACGAAACATGTCCACTTACGGGCCTTCGATGGCTTCGTTGTTCCCACTGAGCGCCACATTGAATCTTCTCTATGCAACGCTGAGGGCCTCTCATTAACCTCTATCGATCCTCCTACTTCCTTCTCATCAGAGGTTGCTAGGAAAACGTCTTCTAATGAGGTGAGGCTCATGGCCACGTCAGGAGCTCCGGTAGCATTGAGGACATCCAAAACGTCAGCATAGAACTTCTCAGCTCCCAAGGGCAAATTGACGGAGACTTGTTCATCCTTCACACTCGAGCCTTTGATACCCGGTATGATATTCTTCAACTTGCGCATCACCTCATCTCTATCTTTCTTGGAAGAACCTAAGATACGACGCTGCACTACGATGGAGTTGGGGAGCTCTACAAGCCTTACAAGTAGCAGTAAGAGTGTAACCAGCAGTGACTCCAGCATTGGTAGCAGCCAGGCGGGCAATGTTGTACTTGAGGAAAAGACTGGTCCCGTAGGCCACAAGGCGACCCCCTCTCATTATAGCAATGTGATTCGACAGCATATCAGCTTCGTCCATGAAGTGAGTCGTCATGATGATAGTCTTCCCTTCATCGTGAGCAAGGCGTAGTAGAACATCCCACAGAGATCGTCGAGAGTAGGGGTCCACGCCTGCACTTGGCTCATCCAGAAGCAGGTAGTCAGGATCACCGAGGAGTGATATGGCCAGAGACAACTTACGCTTCATACCGCCAGAATAAGACGATACACCTGGCAGCACATAAGTGATACGAGATCATGACAATGGAGTCTCAGATGCCTTGACCAAAGCTATAGTCCTCCTGTTTCTGCTACTTAACGACGAAGATTTAATCAACGTAATCTCATGATGAGAATACTAAACGTACACAGTGGACATACACCCTACTTAGGCGGTGAGAGCACTCATACCAGTGCACATGAACAGCTACATGTGTCGGCGAGAATATGAAAACTTCGGGGAAATATTGGTCATTCTTTACACACTTCTACCCGAATTCGTATGTAATTCCTCAAAGTTAGTCACAAAGTTCCTGATCTCAGCTGAGAAAATCTAACATATATTCCGACACAGTCCACCATAGACCTCTCCTGAATGTCGCCCGTGCTTACATTCATCGATTTCAGCATTATCAAGGCCAACGTTAACCATCATGTTGCGAACTTCCTCATCATCGGGTGATGGCGAGCCTCTCAAAAGCGCGAAAGTCTGCAAATGCTCCTTAGCCGAGAGCTCAGGGAAAAGTATATCCTGTTGGAGGCACACTCCCAATACTGGAGCAACATCAATATCGCCTTTAGCAGTGATGAAGTCCACAACACCATCATCTGGTTCGAGTTCACGGCATAGCATTCTGATAGCAGTAGTCTTCCCGGCACCATTGTGACCAAGGAGCCCGAGGATCTCCCCTTTATCGACCTTCAAGGAGAGATGGTTCACAGCTGTAAGGACCGACTTGTCCTGTCTACGGAAGCGCTTAGTGAGGTTAGTTACTCTGATGGCAGGGCGCTCCATAATGGTGTCCTCAGCGACACAATCGTCATCGATTGTCGTTGGCTCATCGCAGTCCTGGACTACTTTCGATCGGCAACACCGACTAGGATGAAATCGAAGCTCCGCGATTCCGAGCAAAATAAGAATACCGCAGGCTTGCGCAATGAGGAGATAACCGAAATCATATTCCCAAGCATTGGACCAAGTCAGACCAACACGTCTTCCTCTCAAATCCAACCCAGCAGTGATCTCGCCGCCTCGCATACTAGCGAACCACGGTATGATGGAGAGAACTGTTTTCAACGCCGAAAGGCGCTCTACATTTCCTGTCACCAGAAATGCGATGTAAACAACGCTGATGATAAACGTCGCCGACAGACCGATAGCACCGGCCGATCGGACTGACGCTGTAAATGAAGATGCAAGAATAGCAGCAGCCACTAGTTGCCATAAGAAGAGGAGATAATGTAGCCAGACTAGTGACCACGATGAGAATACCAATACACGATCAAGGTAGATAACACCAACCAGGCCAAGGGAAATGACTATTGAGACTAGCGAGAAGATGATCGCCCAGTGGGACCAGTACGCCCATTTGGAAACCTTGAGTATAAGAAAATATCGATAATATTCGTACTCTTTCTCATATACCATTTTAGTGACCATAGCTGTAAACCAAAATAGTATACTAATGTTAAGGCACCAACCAGGTAGCCACTTGAACACCCACGGAGCTTCGGCCGCCTGTACTGACGGTCTTGGAAAAGCTTGAATAGCATTCAACGATGGTATATTGGTGACGTTGTTGGTGTTGAAGACCTTAACAATAGCTTCGTCGAGCATCCTCTGTATAGCGACGAAACCCGTGTCAATATACTTGCCATAGTCCAGTACCATGCCATGGTTCGTGTCATCGATAACGACGATCTGTTTGTCTGCTTCACTTGTTGGTGCATATGTCCCATTGATGAGTATCTCATATGCGAATAAAGTGGGGTCTGTCGAGTCAAAGATGATACCAGCAAAAAAACTGCTAGGTCTGGCCTCCTGATATGCAGTCTTCAGATCATCATCGCTGGCAAAGCCTCGTAGCTCGGAAGCATCAATGCCATTCATAGCAGCGGCAACTAAGAAAACGAGTATATAAATCAAAGGCACTTCACAGCATACCTTTCATGACTGAACTAGCGGTAGAATCAGTCGTAGGCGCCCACCATATACGCTCCTGATGGGCTTCCCATTCGAAGGGGATCCAAGATGGCGAGTATGGAATTTGAGTGTCGGTGGGGTACACAGGGCTGTCCAAGAACCTTCAAGCCGGACGATCGTTGTGGAGGAGACGAGCCTTAGACATACCGTCTGGGGGCGAGGACGTCTTCAAAGGGTGGCTGATACACCGACTGACCCGTGAACTTCTCCGCGTGGGTGTCGCCACCGATGTTGGGAAGGGAGAAAAGAAGAAGTGCCTGAGGAGTGGTATGTAACCACGAACCACGATAAAATGCCTTACCACAATAGGAAAGACGACGGTGATGATCGCAGTAGGCAGACTCTTTCGAACAATGAGTAGTTCCTTCTTAAGCAAGGCTTTAGTTTGCCGACCAATGCTGGTCATCCTAGCACGGCTCGGTATGAGGCGGGCCAGTATCGTCGATCGGTGAACTCGTCTGTGACGAGGTGACGGCATAAACAAACGAAAACGGCACTAGTCACGATAGGGGTGACATTCCGGTCCTCTCTTGAACTTAGGGAGTTGACGCAACGAGCGGAGCGTATTCCCTCACACCACGAGCGCTCCACCCGGCTCTCTTCATCCCATGCAAGCAAAGTTCTCGGTCAGTGTGACGGGGATAACCTTTACGAAACGAGAGGCAACAAACCATGGGGAGTAGGTTGAGAATCATTGAGGTTACGGTATAAGTAAACCTTCCAAATGGCCTCAAAGCACTGCTAGTGACGCTGAATGCTGCGCGGACACCCGTTTCACTGTGGGCAGGGGCTCCTTGTTGAGTAGTAGTCTCGCCCAATGAATAGTCCTTGCTTGTGCGGGGTGCGTGGAAGTGTACGTGCAAAAGGAGGTGTGCACTTCTATTTGGAGCAAATATCACTTGATTACTATTCGATAGCTCTATGTCCGGGCATACAACCAAAATTGGCCACAGTTTGTTGAATCGGAATTTGTTGGGTTTGCGGTGCGCTACGCACGCATGAGTGACCGACCCGAACCAGGGAGTAGTGCAACCGATTCTATTATGGTGAGGTCTCCCGAGCCGGTTCTGTTATGAGATTTCTCTCTACCCTTGTATGGAAAACATTGCCTCTGTGTCTACCTGCTATGCAATGTAACTGTGGTGATGGTGTTGAGCCTGTGCAGCACAGCGTGCTGGGCACTTGTGTGCTATCACCGCTCATCAGATGGTCTACCTAGACTTCTGATGTGATGAAGTGAACCTTGACTTCCACGAACAGAACGACGCAAACAGATGATGGTCATTCTTACAGATGAGTCGCTCTATTCAGATACTCGATCAGCTCCTAATGATGATCTAAAGAGGAGAACTACATAATCGTACAATAGATGATTATACCACACCAACTGCAACTCAATGCTCTTGTTGATTCTAGGAAACCGAAACATGATAATGAGCATAATCATAATATAAACTTGTGCAGATCCCCTTTGCTTAATAAGGGCTTCAGTTTAGTCCTCACCATATTGGCATCAACTGTGACCGTCGTACCATCCCCCATAGTAGGCGCATCGAACCTAGCACGACCGACCACTTTCATGATGGTGATGGTGAAGACCATCCAACTATCCCTACGACACTTCCTCCATGATTTTCTCCATCACGGTGTGAAGTCTTCTCGCACCGATATTCTCCACGTGTGTGTTCAAGTCGAAGGCTATATGGGCGATTTCCTGATCACATGTCACTGCTCGATACACCCTCTGCCGAGCAAACCAACCTTAATGCCATCCTCTGGGAACTCCAATGTAATACCTTCGGTTCGCAGCAGAGCCTAAGCCAAGGCTAAATAACGAAATATCATTCCCTAGGGAGTGAACGCTTCCACTAAACCAAGTTCAAATTCTAGCATTGCTGGGCCTTGCTGGGAGAGGGCTCCTCACCTTATGTTGTTCAATCAAATTATGGTGAGGTTCCGTGAGTATCCGCACAAAGTCATGCTCTGTCAAAGCACTCAACGTCACTCGTACGGGAAGTCGACCCTGACATGACCAACAACAGGAGCATTCCACTCAAATCTAGGGTGAATCATCCAGTGCACTAGGGTTGTTCAATACGGCTTTCCTGAGTTTCAAGAGTGCTCCTGGGACCGAATCTTACGCCTGGGAGCATTCTTGAAACTCAGGAGAGGTCTATTGAACACCCCGACTGATTCTAGTCGTAATTTCTGAATCTCCTATAATATGTCTAAGACCCTCCTAAACTGTTCCGCATGGGTACCGTGTTCCCAGCGCCATCATCACCTGCAATTCGGCGAGCATATCCCCGGGTTTTACAGAATGGAAAGCACCGGAGCATATGAAAAGGATGTGGTCGGTGTTGACATTACCATGCCTACGGTCAAGACTTACAAATCAAAGTGAGAAAGAAACTTCGCTCCGCCTTACTTCGTGCTCACATCTGAACCTTCGAGGATCGGCAATAGATCCCTTTGGACTCCCTCAGAGGAAGCATCACTGCCATGATAAAAACCTCTGACAAGAACAAACCGCTGATTTGCACGCACGCACATCGAAGATACTCCTCACTTCGAAGAATTGCATATCTTATCGATCTCGTCCACAAAGACTATCCCCTCCTGCTCAGTTGACCGGATTGCTGATGCCAGTATCATATCCGAATCAATCATGCGATCCAAGTGCACCTGAGTCAATGTTGCTTACGTGATTTTTCGCGCGCCACGAAATTCCCACTTGGACCAGTTTTTGACGCGCCTCTGCCACCGTCATGGTACGTTTCTCCATTTGCCTACTGGTCCCTCCTCCAGCCACGGGTACCTCAACTAATGCCTACCACTCCTTCTACACTTCTGAGCTTCTTCTACTACTACCTGTATGACCCGGATTTGAGGCGGCTTCCTAGAGTCCGAGCCGCCACCCACCCATTCAGGGTAAAGGTCATTGTCAGTCACAGGAACTTCTACTTTCACTTGACTGATCAGAATGGAGATTGCTGCTAGCGTTAGGGAATTGCAAGATTGCAAGATCGTCCCGAAAATGGGACGAATCCCGTTACCAATACCGTTCAATTCAGCGAGTCCGATCAGTTTCGTTGAAGCAATTCTCTCACTCATACTATGAGCTTCATTGTGTTCCACTTCGCAAAAAAATTACGTGGAGAAATTTCAAGATTGGTTTACGTTACCGGTCATCCAATAGCTTAGCCCTCAAGTGGGCTAACCAGGTATCTTTGTCCGACTGGGCGGACATGGGACCTGGAAAATCGATCAGTTGATCGATTTACTCAGTGGTGATGGTCACCTATGAGAGCATTCAGGATTTGTTCCTCCGCCGCTTCAGTTGCCTTAGGCCTTAACTCATCTTCAAGTCGCGATCTGAAGGCACAGGCTGAATCGGACGCATCTTAGGTTCGAGCGATCAAGATACGGATTAGGTCCGAATATGAGCCCATACCTTTGTCGAGTCATAGCCATCTCCAGAAGATCTCTAATGATTGAATCGACATCACGCCCATGAAATCCGACTTCGGTGAACTTAGTAGCCTCAACCTAAGATCAAACACCTGTCCGTCTGAGGTCTAGGTACTATCGCATAAATCTCGTTGATCTATTACCTTGATAAAAGGCGCATCCACCAGCTTAGCGAGCCGCCGAGCAATCTCCGTCTTACCAACACCAGTAGGCCCGACCTGGGACCGTAAAAGAGCAAGAAGAGGAAAAAGGACCCGTACCATGAGCATGTTCCTCGGCATTATCTCGGCTCTGAGTTCTTCGTCCAGCTGCTGTCGCCTCCATCGATTACGCAAGGCGTTAGCTACCGCCCTTTTAGCATCGGCCTGACCTATTACGTATCTGCAAATAGTTATGACCGTGTACTGCCAATATACAGGGGGGCACCGGCAATGGAGAAAAATGAATGGGTAAACAGTGATTGTATCAAATACGGAAAAAGCGGCTTAACCTCATTAAGGCTGTCTGTGAAGGCACTCCTTAGATATACAAATATACACAAGTCGAGCAGGTGTCCCAACTTCAGTGAACTAATGTTAGACTTCAGAATTGACTCGGAATTAGAAAATTCATCTGTGAAGTCCAGGAATTGAATGGGAGCGTCAGTAGCAGCTTAATGAGCTCCCGAAACCAAACACCGATAAGGCCGATGATTTCGTGAAGCTGTCGAACATTAGTCACAATATTGAGTGAATCCCCTTCGACTACTACCGATCCAAGTACTCCACCATCTCTCGTGGTTTCATGTTTTTCCTGTCCTTTGGCAATGGCTTGGGCGCAGCAGCATTATCATCGGTGGCTCCCCCCTCAGTACAGAAGAACCGAGATACCACATGGATTCGACGTGAGAAAAGGGCCGGCAGTCCGAGCCGAACAGAAGTAGAGACGGCGGCCATGTAATGTGGTTACGGAACGGTTAGAAAAATGTAAGTGATTTATTCAACTCGAAAATTGATCTGGTCGAGGCGTGCGCGTGTTTTCATGGCGCGCGGTAGAATTCGACGAGTGCCGGGATCGAACCCGAGTTGTCGTTGCACAACATAGCGAAATGCGTATAATCGATCGAATTGTCGTAGTCCTCCAATTGGCAATTCTACAAGGCACCGTCCAGTTCCGCCATGTCTCATAGGAAGTTCGAAGTCCCCCGTCACGGCTCGTTGGGATTCTTGCCTCGCAAGCGTACCCGCCATCATAAGGGTAAGGTAAAGTCGTTCCCCAAGGATGACCAGTCCAAGCCCTGCCACCTTACTGCCTTCATGGGCTACAAGGCCGGCATGACCCATATCGTCCGTGATGTCGATAAGCCGGGTTCTAAGCTTCATAGGAAGGAGGTTGTTGAGGCCGTCACTGTCTTGGAAGCCCCTCCCATGGTCTGTGTTGGTTTCGTTGGTTACGTCGAGACCCCTAATGGTCTTCGTGCTCTCACCACTGTGTGGGCAAAGCACTTGTCCGATGAGGTCCGTCGTCGTTTCTATAAGAACTGGTATCACTCCAAGAAGAAGGCTTTCAGCAAGTACCAGGAGAAGGACCATGACGCCGAGGTTCAGCGGTGTAAGAAGTACTGCCAGGTTGTGCGTGCCATCATGCACACCCAGGTCAGCAAGGTTAAGCTCACTCAGAAGAAGGCCCATATTGTTGAGGTCCAGGTCAACGGTGGTTCCGTCTCGGACAAGGTCGATTTCTGCCAGTCTCTCTTCGAGAAAGAGGTTCCAATTTCCTCCGTCTTCGATAAGGACGAGATGGTTGATATCATTGGTGTGACTAAGGGTCACGGAAATACCAGTGTCACCACTCGATGGGGTGTCACTCGTCTTGCCCGTAAGACCCATCGTGGTCTTCGCAAGGTCGCCTGTATTGGCGCCTGGCATCCGGCCCGAGTCCAGTTCCAGGTCCCTAGAGCTGGTCAGATGGGTTATCATCATCGTGTTGAGATCAACAAGAAGATCTACCGCATCGGCAAGGCCCTCCGTGAGGATCCTAACAATGCTGCTGGCTCCAACGATCTCACCCAGAAGGCTATCACTCCCATGGGTGGCTTCCCCCACTACGGTGAGGTCAACGAAGACTGGGTTATGCTCAAGGGTACTGTTACTGGTCCTAAGAAGCGTGTCATCACTCTTCGTAAGAGCCTCCTCCCCCAGACCAGCCGTAACGCTTTGGAGAAGATCGATCTCAAGTTCATCGATACCTCCTCCAAGTACGGTCATGGTAGATTCCAGACTGCTGATGAGAAGAGGAAGTACTATGGTCGTGAGGCTGAGGCCACTCAGGCTTAAGCAGCCTTCCTCTGTTGTAGTTTTGATTGGACTATTACTACCCACATTCGGCCACGATGGAAGATTTAATCCTAGGCTTGGCGGTAACCTTTCTATAGAGGTGCGGGAATACGCGCATTGTGGTGTTCATTAATAACGCTGCAGTTAACAGCAGGAGGTATGGGTAGGTTATTGTTGTCTTTTTGGGTCGTTTATGGATTCCTAGTGTCTAGAGGTAGTCCCCCCCCAAGTAATGTGGGGCATTGACTTGACTTGAGTTTGATGGTAGTGTGTAGGTGGCGTGATGGAGTGCAGCCCCCTAAATTGATGTTGCGTTCTATCGAGTTGATCGACACATTGTTAGCTATTTAGTGTTGGAATATTTGTTTGCTTTTCTTGGTTGAGCTCGGGAGTTTCCTCGCTAATTATCGAGGTTTACATATGAATTCGGGTAGAAGTGTACGCAGACGAATAAGAATTGCCTAAAATTCCCTCAGCACTCTCATGTAGTTGAGCACATGCATATCCTCTCCCACTGCAACTATGAGTTATGTTGTCTAATCGTTCCCTCCTGGAGAAGTTCGTCTGTGATGGAGTCGTATAATTTCTGAGCACTCCTATCTCTTTCCCATAGTAGTGGTATGGTTGTTATTGAACTGTTGAAGCATGCCAGAGTGCACGTTGTAGAGACAGGGGTAGGTAGTGTATAGGGAATTCTTTGGGACTGTAGTGCAGCTGGGTTGAAGTGAACACCTTTTCATCTGGGCAGGGTTACGATTTTGCTTGATTGATCAAGAGTGTGTTTTCCAGGAGGCTATGGTTTCTTGAGTTGTGGTAGGGTGACAGGATAATTGTAAATCGTTGCTTCCCGCGTTTCACTCGCACATGAAAAATCTGATCGACTTTGTGGATTCCTGAAGTCGAATATATGTAGACCTTGTGTTGGTTTCTTCAGCAAGAGATGTAGGGGGAGTGCAGAATTCCTCAGTATACTCAATAACTTGGTCCATGGCTTCTAGCACCTCTACGGCCGCTTCTGATGGTCAAGTGAAGTTCGCCGACTTGGTCAGACTGAACCAAAAGCGGACTTTGGAGCTGTGGCGGCCTGGACCGGAGCCTCAGGACATCTATCCGCATCATGTGGTCTCCCCTCCGGAGATTAAAGAGGCTAAGCAGAGGAGAATCTTTGAAGACAATTTTAGCAAAGTCGATCTGTCGGTTACGAAAATGGGTCAGAAAATGAGCGTGTTGAATTTGCCAACAGCTGGTGCGGCTGCTGCCCCTGCTGGACCGATGCAGGAAGCATCTGCAGTGAAGACCACGAGCACAGCGTTGGTGGCGTCACAAGGTAGTAATGGGAGGGGGAGGTGACCTAAGCGTGAGAGGTTCTTGTGTAGGGATCAACAGGCTACCCGGAGAGAGCCGTTTGGTGATTCGAACGGCTGGTACGGCGGCTAAGGGCATTCTGGCGATCAATGAGAATATCGGTCGTCATCGACCAAAGCAGCAATGGCATCCTGATTGGAAGCTCTACAGGGTCGTGCAGGGCCATCAGGTCATACAGGGGGATTGCCACTGGGTGGTATGTTGGAGTGGTCTCAGGGTTGGGTGCGTGCTTTGGATGTCGATCCTAGTAATGAGTTCTTCGTGAGTGGTGGCAATGATAAGATGATAAAGGTTTGGGACCTAGCAACAGGTAGAAGGGGTAGGGAGAACGTTTTTACTCGTGGGCGTCAGTGTGCTCGAACTTCTCGGGGAACACTGAGGTGGAAATAGAGGGGCTGTCAGAAATCGCGCAGTAGGGAAGAGTGGACACAGTAGCTTCTGTATAGTGTCGGGGTTAATGTTGTTTTCTGACGTGCTGGTGACCCGGGTTCGATCCAACCAGGTGCTATTTTGTTAGGCGCATTGAAACTGACCTTGACTGGTCATATACATAACATCCGCGGTCTCAAGCTGCACCCGAGGTTGAAGTACCTCTTCAGCTGCGGCGAGGACAATATGGTGAAGTGCTGGGATCTGGAGATGAACACGGTACTCTTCCTTATCCGAATCGATGGCTATCTATGGTGTCCTGTATAGGTTGTGAGAAGCTATCACGGCCACTTGAGCGGTGTGTATTGCATGGAGACTCATCCAACTTTGGACGTTCTATTCACCGGCAGTCGCGATGCTACTGTCAGGTCGGTGGGTGCGGGTCGTTCTTATCTTTAGTAATGGTTGTTGATGTTGATGATTCAGGGTTTGGGATATTCGGACGAAGCACGCAATACACGTCTTGGGCGGCCACACTAGTACGGTGAACTGTCTGGCGTCACAGCAGATGGAACCCCAAATCATATCGGGTTCGATGGACACGACGATCAGGCTGTGGGATTTGAAGGCGGGCAAATGTCGAAGTAGTACTTGGTAGAAAGGCGTAGGGTCGATTCCCGGGAGGCACATCCTTTCATTGGAGTTTGTGGTTTGTATAGTGAAAATCTTTGCTGTGCGCTGTGAATGGTGGTATCATACTTCAGCTACACTAACCCATCATAAGAAGGGTGTGAGAGCATTGGCTGTCCATCCTCGGCTGCCGCTGTTTGCATCAGCAGCAGCAGATCACGTAGGCTGAGCTCTCGGCAACGTGGCCTGGTTAAGGGTGTGTCCTTTGTGTAGATCAAGGTGTGGAGATCTCCCGATGGAGTCTTCGAGCGTAATATCGATCATAACATCCCGGGTACAGTGATGCACTGTCTGAAGATCAGAGATGAGGGGGTGAGTATCGAACCTGCTCGGATTATAAGTCATGGGATATTGTGCCCGGCGCGCTACTGTTAGCGTATTTATTCTCTTTGTTTGATGGTTATTTGTCAGGACTCGCCTGTGATGGTGGCGGGCACGGATGCGGGTCACCTTCTTTTCTGGGATTGGGCCTCGGGGCAGATCTTCCAGGACATCAACACACCACCTCAGCCGGGGAGTATGAGCAGTGAGAGGAGTATATATGCTTTGGCTTTCGATCAGTAAGTTGTGATGAGATTTCGAAAAGGAGTGGTACGGCCCACGAGAGACTGTGTGCAGATCCGGAGAGAGGCTGATCACAGGGGAATGCGACAAGACGATTAAAATGTACAAGCAAGATTATGAGTCGGCGAAGTCGAAGCACACCTAAGATGGAAACAAACGTCTCTGAGGGATTTTGTGGCGCGTGAAGTTGGGTGGCTGAGGTCGCTGTTATGGATTGGGTGGGATTAATCGTAGGCTTGTTTTTCATTGTATGGTCATTCCTCGTCGATATGAGTGGAACGGTTAGTAATGACCATGATGAGGAGAAAGAGGTCCCGGGTTCGAACCCTGGTGCGACCACTTTGAACGCGCACTTGATTGACTTGGACAGTGCTACAGAGACTAGTCCAGCAGAGGAACAGAATGTGCAGGCTAGTGGACCGTTTCCGCCTGAATCGACTCGAAAGAGGAAACATAGCAAACGCCGTAAAGTGAGTGTGGCAGGCATTTGTCCTTCTATTCATTGAGGCGTCCGTCTAGGCCTCACAGGAGCGAGAAAGTCTCCTAT